CATCAGGCGAGAAAAGAGCAGCAAAGACAAGGGACCCCAGACTGACTCTGACCATGACGAGAGCGAGCCTGGCGTGTTTGATGCATAGCTTGGCCAGCCGTTCACTTCGGACACAAAAGATGAGGACTTTGATGGATTTGTGGATGCACTGTCGTTGCCCGTTGAAAAGAACCCGAGCGCGCCTTGGCTCTGACCAATTATCTGTAAAGCTTTGGAAGCCGTTACTCACCAAGATTTTGACGATATTCCGACTTGATGCCAATCTGTAGGAGCTGATTCTCAAACAAAACACCGTTGTTCTTGCACACAAACCTGTTGAACAAAAACAGCTCAAAGTGACTTTCGTGGACTGGACAGACCCTTGAAAAACAGGTGAATGACATTCACAACGCTGAGGGCGTTTTGGATGTCATCCATCCAAAAGAAGCAATGACCACCCCAAAAGTGCAACATTCACTGTCCGGCCTGGTCCCTACGTGCCCCGCTCAAAGGGAACTTTCGCTGCGTTAGCTTTTCCAAAAGCGATTCGACCGAGAATATATGAGATTTCACAGCCGAGTGGGAAAATATTTTTCCTTGATAAGTCAGCCACACGCAACCTGTTGCGATCACGCAGAGCCCGGGCGCACAGACAAAGCAACAAAGCTTTCGAACGGAGAAAGAGCTTACTTGTTAAGGAGTTCATCGGCCTCAGACAGAGGGGGAGCGGGATCCTCAGAGGGAGGAGCAGAGCTGAAAGACGGTGCAAGGATGTCGACAGCCCACAGAAGAGAAGAGAGGAGTGAGATGGAGGAAGACGAGAAAGAGGGCATCCCCTCAACACATGCGCAACGTGGCAATGTGATGATGAAGAGTTGAGAGAAGAAAAAGGAAAACCAGATCAAATGCGGAGATGGTTAGTAACAATGTCCAACCACAGTTTGTACAAAAACAACAACAGAAACCAACGCCAGCAGCATGTATTTGGGCATTTTCTATTGTTTTGGTTGAAGAAATCAACCTGACATAGGCTGCACTGTACTGTCATACAATTTTGTCTTCGATCAGAATTTGGACATGAACAGGCAATAATACCCTGAAAAGACTCGCGCAACAGGAAATCAGCACTTGATACGTTCTGCATCGGAGAACAGAATCAAAATCCAAAAGAAGAGAAAATGAATCCCTTTCCAAATACATTTTGACCGCATGCTACCACAGACACGCTTCACATGATTCAAGCAGCACAGGACACAGGCTACGGAGATGCAGGAGCTCGATGCCATCAACTTGCTTGCTATGTAAAACACGTTTACATCAGAGTGTCTGTGACTTATTCCTTTTTTTTTTTGGTAACGTTACCGCACATTTATAGGTGCAGGGGTGTGGGGTAAAGTGTTCAACAAATGTACCGGATTAGACCACCACACAACGTAAGAGCACTTTCTCTGGCGACCACTTAGAAGCAGTCCTTCATGCCTTCGTCACCTCTCGGCTGGATTACTGTCATGCACTTGACTTTGGAGTCAACCAATCCTCCATGAAGCCTCTCCAGTTGGTCCAAAGTGCTGCCGCTCGCCTCTTGACCGGTACTCGTAAGAGGGGAGCGCCTAACTCCTACTCTGGCATCCCTTCGCTGGGTCTGTTTTAGAGTTCTTTTGAAGATCCGATGATTTCTTTTCAGATCTTGAAACGGTCTCGCCTCACCTTACCGCTCTGAGCTCCCGCACCCCGGGCTTGCTGTCTCAGGTCTGGGGACAAGACACTATATTAGCGGTAGCGAGGACTCAGCGGAGGCTCCGAGGGGACGGAGGCTTTTCTGTTGCCACTCTTTCTCTTTGGAATGACCCCCGCTGAACGTTAGGCATGCCCCCTCGCTGCCCATCTTGGTTCACACCAGTGTTTGGAAGATAAATTGTGTTCTTTTAATCAGAAATGGTTTATTTGTATTTTTGAATATAGCAAAAGTTGTACAGTCCAGCTATTCTTCTCATTCTTCCCAGCTTCACCTTTTTTGAAGTAACCTTGCAGCCCATGTTCAATGTCATTTTTAGCTTCTTTTTTTTTTTTTTGGTCATGCCGCTGAAAAATGGATGGCGCGCCGCAAATGGGCACCGCTGATGTAGATTTTTTTTTTTTTTTTTTGTGTGTGTCGCTCTAAGCTGAATGGTTGAGCAAGCTACCCATTCACAGAAACATCTATTAACAACACTAGGGCATATTTCATCAATGCCATTATGACAGCATGAAGATGTCATAATTGTGGTTTTCTAGCTGAATCTGTTGTTGACTACAAGGCCCTTACTCCGAGTCACCAGAACCCTCCACCAAAAAGGAGTCAGAGGTCTCGGTGGGCTGTTCCAGATCTCTGCCAATGTCCAATCACGGTATAGGGCAGACATTCAACCAAAACACAAACACACACACACACACACACACACACAGGAAAAAGGAGAGAAGGAAAAGAGAAAAAGACGAAAGACAAGTCACATACACGGTAAGTTAAAAAAATACATATAAAGAAAAGACAAGTAAAGAAAACCTGCCAACCAGGGAGAAGAATAGACAAGTCGAGCACTTCTTCTTGAAAGTTAATTCGAATTGCACTTACAGGAGGTCCCCGAGTTATCCAATTCCAATGACGTCAGGATGTTGCGTTAAACGCAAGCAACAACAGAATACAATGATTTTATTCAATTAAATATAGGTTGAACATGATTTGCAAAGCATTGTATTCCGTTGCTATTTATGTTGAACACAATGTCTTTAGAAGTGGGTGTGTAGTTTGACGATCATTCTTACACTCACGTTTCTACCATGAGATACCGTTACCGTGAGGGGATGACATTTTTTTTTTTCTTCAGCCATATCCCTCAGTCGTTCATCGATGGTTTTCGAATTTGGTCGGAAGGAGGGCAGAATTCAACAGCTCTCAAATTTTAAAATACAATTTCCTCCAGGTTGGCAGGTCCAGAGTTGAGCAACAGTATGTCAAGCAGCAGACAAGCGCATGTTAAAAAGCGGTCTTTCGGGACAAAGACGGACACAAACACCAAATCCAATCACATTAAAAGACAACAAAGTGTCAGAAAACAATGTTTTGTTTTGTTTTTTTTCTTTTAAAGCCCTTCGGTAACAAGGCAAGTTGAAATCCAAAACCTGATGTAACCACACACCTTGGAACCAGCATGCCAATGCAATCTCATCAGTACAACTTGAAGGAGGCAGAGGAACATTTCTTAGTTTGCCTGTCACCAGTTTTGAGTTGGCAGATGAAAGGAGATTTTTTTCAAGTTTTCAGATGTTATTCGTGTGAGCTTGGACTCCATCTGTGATTTGAACTACCATCTACCATCCGTAACCGTGTTACTTAGGGACATGTCAACGCAGAGAGGGGACAGTCGACTAGACAATATTGATCTCTTCAATTGGCCAACCAACAGCACACGTTGACATTTGCCCTACAATGTGATCATATCAGGAGCAGCTCCCGTTGGACTTTGGCTAACGGGCACAAATGAATTCTACGTCTGTTCATTAGGATGATGACCTTCACCTTAGAAAGCCGTCGTCGTGAACCGCAGCAGAGGGTGCGGCGGGCCCTGCTTCAGAGAACACATCCACCAATAGGCTGCCGGCACTGGTTGGAGCAGTGCCAACAGGCGGCCCGGCTCGAATCCCAAGGAGGTCTGCTGATGGTGATGGGGTGGACTGGAAGAAAACGGACACTTTTGCATGAGAGCCACGAGGGGAAAACGTGGTTGACTGCCCACCCTCCGACAGTCCACTTACAGCATTGGAGGCAACCATTGCTGATGTGTCTGGACCCCGATCACCGCCTCCGTTCAGCTCCCCGCCCTCCCTTTTGCTGTCCTCCAGGTCTGTCACCGACACGGCACCAGGCCCCTTTTTCTTCTTCAGTTTAGCCAGAATTGAAGACTCCCTCTCGGGGAAAGGAGGCATCTCCTCCAGAACAGTGGCCTAGGAGAACAAAAGAAAAAATATCAATAAATTATACTATGACGAGACAGGAACTACTTTGGGGGTGCATGTAGAATTTGTAACAGCGCTCATTGCCATACGAGCCAAAAAAGAGGATCCTCAGTTGTAAGGCGCTAGAAGGGTAGACCAGGGTCCGCTGCCAGAACGACGGATAGCGCTCAACACAGCGTAAAGCTCCAGCTGTGCCGATGGAGCGATTTCATGTCCCTCTGAAGGCAGCTTTGTATTTTAACTGCAGTGGCAGCGTTGCGCCACTCTCGAGGCGCTATCTCAACAGTGTTGCACACAGTTTGTTTCACTTCTGCTCATAGTTCATTTGATCAGTTCGATAGAGTGCAGAGTCTGCAATCAAAAACCCCTTTTTGTGGTCTTGATTTAGAAAAGGAAAGTCTCATTTAGATGTGTGAGAAGTCCCAAAAGTAAAAAAAAAAAATGGTGGTGCCATCCTTGAAATGCATGCTTTTACAAAAAGGTCTTTCTCGAGAAATTTGATGAAATCTCATTCTTTTTTCAAAAGAACGGAAACGAACAGAAACTTTTTTTTCCGGCTGAAAGAAAATAGTCATCTTTCTTTTGGTAGGCTGCCGCAATAATCTGTGGCCCTTGCAAATCAGTCAAAGTCCAATAAAACGGCTGGGATTGAGGGCTTTGTGGCAGGGAAAACGGTGCGGATTCAATGAGTTAATTAAGTCCAAAAGTTATCGCACATGTATACATTTCAATCCAAAATGACGGAATTACCAAGACATCGGTACTGGCGATAGAAGAGAGCTTCAAATACTCCACGGCACGCTGCTGGAGCTCCACGTCAGAGTTGCGAATCTGGCTATCGCAGCGAAGAACCTCCTGAATCGTGGCCTTGGTCTCTGGGAACAAGTTGATAAACTTGATGTAGGCCGACAACAGCAGGGCACGAGTCGGCACAGAGCAGAGGTGGAACTTGGAGTGAAGAAGGTTGAACTGCACCAGGGGGCTGGAGAAGGGAACACAAGTTACTTTGTGTCCTGTCAACTGAACATTGGGTTGCCTAAAACAGGCACATACCTAGAACGGGGGTCACCGGCAATGAGGTTACCAAACTCTCCGAGAATGTAGCCTCCAACTTTCACCATGTTCTCATGACAGGCGGGGGCTTGCAAGGCCTGGAAGAAAGAGTAACTCCATTTTTCTGTCGGGATGACTACAGAGGACAGTGCCAAAGTTGAACACAATTCATGAGAAGCAGCAGCAACATTTTAGTACTAAACACTGTGCATGAAATAATGTTGGATGAGGTTTCACCGAGCGGCATGATACTGAGGAGAAATATCAGCACAAGCAGCAGCAGCGCCAATGTCAGTGCAAACTAATTTAACTCATTCAATGCCAGCGGTTTTCCTCAAATTGAGAAACCCGGCGCCAGTCATTTTTCACCATTTTGACTCATTTTTAAAGGCCTACAGCAAAGTGAGTTCTCTTGGTATATAAGCATTGAACCTACCAAAATTACGTTTGAACACTCTTCTTTCAACATAAAAAAGTATATTTCTACATTTTACCATTCTTGAGTAAATTGCAATTTATTGCAAGATAACACCCTTTATCAAAGCCCTTTATTCATATTTTTGGGGTGAGAAACACCCAAAACGTATTTATACGTTTCTGCACTAAATGATCGGGGGTTTTGCGAACATAGTTTTGTGTTTTGGCATTAAATGAGTTAAGGGATTTTTTTTCACGCACGCTTTAATCTTCACAATGTTGATCAAAGTAGTAGTACCTCAAAGACTGTCTTGGCAGCATAGCCTTGCACATCATCACGGTTGATGACAATCTGGATGACACGGTACCATACCTCTTCGCTGACATAATCGCCAGCTATGCGGATGAGGTTGAGTATGGTGTCGACGTACCAGGAGTAATCGACAGCATACTTCTCGGCCAGGATAGCTACCTTGAGCACCTGAAAGACAAAAAGTAAGATCCAAGATGGTGGCCAGGTTGGCAGCAGTCGGCAAGTGCTCTTCAGGAGTTCTGCTTTTTTTTTTTTTTCGTCATCTGGTGTTTGCCGTCTTTCGTGTGGACCCGATCTGGACTGTTTTCAGCGTTTCGGCCACGACACTCGTGTGCTTGGTGGTTGCGCCTTCTCGGCAGCGCGCGTGCGCCAGCACTGATTTTGATTGGGAGGAATGTCGGCGCTATTTGTCTGTCGCCACTGAACAGCCTCCGGGCGCTTGTGTTTTATCTTATGTGTTGTGTGATATTATTTTGTTATTGTATGTTAACTGTTGTGTAAAGTGCTTTGCTACAGCTGCAGCTGTTGTGAAAGCACATATCAATAAAGATATATTGTATTGTATCAAACTCAGTCATTTGATAAGATTGTTTTGAGAACATGCCTGACTCAAATTAAGATTCTGTTTTGAACATGCACATTTGGATTTGAGTCAACACATGTATTAGAAACGAATGAATTGCTATGCCTAGGACGGATGGATGCATCCGTTCGACGCTTTCAAATGGGAGGGAGAGGAGGCGTAAAAATGTATTACATCATCAACTGCAATTTCCCCACTACGCAAATACGGAGCAAAAAATAAAACGAAAGAAGCACATTATTCTTATTCTGTCCGTTTCACACACCATCTCTTCCCTGATGGAGTAGTCAGCTGTCTCAAGGTAGCTGAGCATCTCAGCTACAATCTGCTTGGCATTGCTGCGATCACACATGGCGTACAGCAGATCTGCTGCCCTTTGTCGAACACTAACATCCCGCTCAGTCTGCAAAAAGAACAACGTTGGGGGGGGGGGGACGGACAAGAGATGAGAAAAGGGTGGAGACTGAATTACAAAGGTGTATTAGCATGCGTGGACTTTAAATATTGCTCAGAGTTAGTTATATTGTGTTATTTTTAAAAGCAGTTGTGCACTGATGCGAAGCGAAAAAGTGGTTTCAACCGATCAAGTGCGTGATCAATCACCTTGAGCGCGTTTATGACAGTCTCAATGTGCGTCTTGACTGCTTCATGAGAAAACTCTGAGCTGGCCAGCGTACACATGCTTTCCAGAGCCAAGTAGCGCAGGTTCGTCTCTCTGTGCTGCAGGAACTGACCCAGCTGGTTACAGGCTCGCACAAGCAGATTTGGCTCACTTTGAAACAAAACATATGCCAAGAAATATTTCCGCCACATCAGTTTGAAAAATTCACATTGAAACTATGTCCTCCGGTGGCTGTCTGTATTTGATTCCCCGGTGACGTCGAGCGGAGGCTCCAGTTGCTCACCTGTCATAGTGGATGATAAGGGAGATGGCCTCAAAGAGGATGGCATTCTTGGCATTGGAGTGCTGTACTTTCTTTGACTTGGGTGGCTCCTGCGCCTTGTTGAGGATGGTCTCCAAACACTCCACCAGACGGCCCTTCACCGCGCCATCTTCAGGAGGAGGATAGCACTGCAGCAGGCGCAGCAGCTTGCAAGACAGCCATGGGGCTGGGACAAAGTAGTAGGTGTAGTCTTGTAGGTCGGTGGAGGCTGATGAGACAATCTAAAGAAGCGCAAGACAGAATGTTAGAGGCTCCCTTCATCTGGGAATGTCAACACACAAAGAATAGGAGTGTACACTGTTATCGCCTGTGAATGACATTACAATTCTTGGATTGGTTCAAACAAATCAATTCATCCATCAGTTGTGCTGGCGAATGACAATGACAAGAAACTTGAAAGAAAAAAAAAACGATGGACAAGGCAAGCGGGTTGTTTTGTCCGTCACCGGAATCGTCACGAACTGGGTCAGTACCGACCGACTCCCGTTTTGCTAATGACTGACGCAAACACGCAACGCCGCCAAGAAGAAGAAAGAAAGAAAGAAAAGAAATAAGAAGGTCTGTGGGTCCTAAAATAGTGATGACAAATTGTAATTTAGTTATGACAGAAGCACGGTTAAACAGACAGAATGATATTTTAAATATAAACAACGAGCTTTCTAAAAATGTGGCCGAGTAATGTAATCATGTTCATCTGAGCTAGGCCGCATGTGATAAAGCAATGGACTTGCTCACGAAGAGCTTCAGTTACTTGAGAAATGTTTGGTGTTCCAGTTTGTGCGAATTACTCACCCTGCTAAGTCGAGACACTGCCAAGGAAACGCAGGTCTTAAACTCATCTGGATTCTTCTGACTCAAACAGGTGATAAGAGAAATGGCGGCTGTAACCACACCCTGCAAATATAAAAACAACGAGAGAAAGAGTTCACTTCTGTCTTCTTTGCAGGGCAGATGACAGAAGCCATGATTTAAGCAAGAAAAAACACACATGGAACAGGCCAGCCACTGATGTGAGTTCAATGTAGCTCGAATGAAATCAAATAAAAGAGGGCAGCACGAGATGAAACTGTGAGGAACGGGCTGGCTGGCTGGTTGGCTGACTCAAGTCACGCGTTAGGAGGAAAATCTGGAAAATGGGACTGCTCGCTGCAAGGGAGCCAGAGCGCTTCTGCCAACGTGCCCTTTAGCAAAGTGCAGCTCGACAACTGCTCGGGGCGCTCTTTTGCGTGCAGTCCAATCAGCTCGCGCCTTGATTCTGTGTGCGTGTGAATTTATGGATGTTAAATGCAATCGAAAGAGTGTTCATCAAATGAACTGCACTTCGCCATCAATTAAGAATGAAAAGGTTTGCCGCTTCATTCAACTCTGCTCTCACCATGTGTTGGTCATTCAGAAGGTGCACCACGCGGGACGTCCATTCCCCCATCAGCACCAAGTCCGGAGAAGTTTTATAGAGCCGCAGCAGACACAGGGCGGCTGACTGCTTGACACTGTCCATCGTATCCCTGTGGCAGATGTGAGCATTTGCATCACGTTCAGTGGAACCCCAACGGTTACGTGGCCAAATGGAGTAAGGGCTCAAGCAAAGTCACGCTCACCCAGCGACCAAGATGCGAGGGATTTCACTGGCAAAGGCCTCCGCCATCTCCCGGCTGCCCACGTTGGCGATACAGTGAAGCGCCAGGCACATGAAGGTGGGGTTGCGGCTGGACAGGTCATTTTTGATGGCATTGTTAATCAGGCGGATCAGTTCGCTGTTGCTGTTGACCAGAACGGAGATGAACAGGTAGCCCTGCAGACACGGTGAATCCATTGAGAAGGAGATCGCGGCGCAGTAGCACACAGAAATCTTGCCGCTATTCCAACATTTCAGATACATCGATCCCTCGTTGTCCCCGGTTAACGGGGACCAGAAACCGCCGCCGCAAAAGGTGAAAATCGTGAGGTAGGACTATTACTCTTATCAAAAATTAGGAGCATGGCAAGATAACCACCATGCGTAGCGATTCCTCATGCGTGGCGGTTAAAAAGACACATGATGCCACAAGAGAGAGCTCAGTGAGAGTAGAGTGCACCAAAGAATGGCCCTTTTTTTTATTGCATGTAGATCTGACATTGAAGGCCAGGACTGAACCCATAAACTTTTCTCAGAACCTCTTTTGACTTGCACCTAACTTGGACCGAGACGTGTGGAACCCAGCATAAACTCGACTGTGGCGTCGGTTGGTAAGCGGTAGCCAACATTTCTTTCAAGGAGATACATCATGGAAAATGTCGTTTTTAATGTTTGTTTACAGATTTGATGAGATTCGGGTAGCCCTTCCGTCAAGAGGGAAATTAAACTGAAGCAGGTCACAGACTAAAACCCTGGGCCGCTCCTCAAGTCGCACTTGGTCGAGTTCAACCAAACAGGATTCTAAAAGACAATGAACATGCATGAGGTCAAGTGACACGTGGGCATTTGGAATCCAACCACAGTGTGCATCAAAAGGATGAACTCTTATTTGTCTTGGTTTCTTTTGTCATAGCACCTGTTGAACGCATCTGTAATCACAGAGCGGAGAGCTAGGACTATGACCCGAGAACTGGCAATTCAAATATTGCAAAAAGCAGTCCTCGTCCCTGCTCGGACTCAAGCTAAGTAGACTATTTATAATCGATGAGGAAGAGCTGAAGATACATAGCGAAGTGGACTGTTTTAGTGTTTCGGTGAGGCAACTTTCATTCGACCGTTCCACTCTATCACCATCACTGTGCTTGTCGCACGTCATTAAAAGTGGAGTTCACATTTAATTTTATACCTGATAGAAAAAGTGGTTGACTCTTTCTTAAAGTATTATGATTATTATTATTTTACACATCAATTACAGTTGAGGATGTTAAAAAGCTACTTTAATCTTCAAAATATAACTAAGAAAGGTTTTACGACACCAACAGTCCCAAACCCTGGATTTGATCACCTCCCTTATTTTTGATGGCATTTTAAAATATGAACAAATCTGAGCTGAGCTGACCTACGGTTAAAGTTTCTCAAGAATTTCCACAGTTAACAGTCAACTTTGACCGCTTCCAAAAGAGACTACCGACTCTCTGATTCTGCTTACTCAATATTTCCTGTTCCTGTGACGACGGTCAACCAAACATTCAATGTGGAAATGTTAAGCTGACTTAAACTGCATGAGGGCCGACAGGAAAAAGAAGGAAAACTGATCGAAAGCATTGGCTTGCCCTTGATAGTCAAGTCTGATGCGAACTGAGGTTCCGAGTAATAAAAGTAGATTCAGACTGCGAGACCGCGACGAAGCCGTGTGCGGAGGCTAACACAAAGGTCTTTGATCCCCACTTCTGTCAACACCAATGGTCCGTAAACTCTTTTTGGTGTGTGTGTGTGTGTGTGTGTGGGGGGGGGGGGTTCATGCGTCGTGTCTACCTTTCATGAAATTCTGCATTGCGGAAAATCAATTTGTGCAATTGTCCAATGTTAATTTTACATTTGAGCCGGAAAACAAAAGTGCTTTTGATTTTACAGCGGCACAAATTGGGATCATTTTTAACACAACCAAAGAACCCAGCTTCGTAACAACAAGTCATTGGGATAATTGTGTCCAGAAATATGATTCTGTTAACATATATGCTGTAGATACAGTGGATATTTTTTTAAAATCTATACACACACACACACACACACACACACACACACACACACGCACACACACACACACACACACACTTGATATTTTTGTGAAAAATGCTTCTTGGCGGTTTATCCCCAGCGGGGGTCCATTGTCTTTCTTATTTCCTCCAGGAACATTTGTGCCAAATCGGAGGTCAATTTGAGGTGCCACTGGTTCCGAAAACCAATGCTGACGGGAACTTACAATCTGCTTTTCTGTATATTTGTTGGAACTCAGCAGGTTGACGGCCTCCATGTGTCCAAAGTCAATGTCGTGGCCAAGCAGGAAGATGAAGAGCAGCTTGCAGACATATTTCTTCTTGCTGTAGCCATCGAGAGCTTTGTCCCCTTTGAATTTGGAGCGAATATTGGCCAGCTCTTTATTGATCCTCTTGATCTCGGCTTCCTTGCTTTTACCTGGTGGGTGAAAGATTGATTATACGGTAGCATGATGGCCTTGACCATGCAGGTAAAACAAATACATAAATAACAACCAAAAATGTACAGAATGCTGGTGACATTTGTTTCCTCTCGTCTTTCTCACTGTCACGCTTTGTTTTTTTCTCCAAATTTCGGACACACGGTAAAGTGCAAAGTTCTTAGCAACCGCTTCATTATTTTTATGTTTGGTTTTTGCAATTGCATGACGACCATCAACCAAGGAAACGTCAGCGACGTCATCGTGTTTGTTTGTCATCCATTTGCGAGATAGCTGGCTGCTTCCTGGTTTATTAAGGATGATGGCTGGACTGGCTGCGCCATCATGTTCCCAAGGGATGGACGGTTTCACCATTTATGTAGAGCCGTTCGAAATGTAGCAAAATCATCCTTTCCCCTTGACCCTTTGCTCGAACAGCTTTGCTGGGGAAACAGTTATATTTATATTTATTTGTATTGTCCCGATAGCTACACACCTGCACTATGGATGTTGATGAATGGCTGCAGTGAAAAGCATCACAAAGAACAAAAGCTCGCAGTGGCCCTTCATTTTTTTTTTTTTTGACAGTACTGTTTTATCACAAATATACAACCTTGGGAAACAATTGATTTCCAGGGATGAAAATAAAAAGCAGTGACATACAACGGCTGCTTTGCAAGAGGTTTAATGATTGGAGTAAAATAACTGGTGCATTTCCCACATAGCTGACCTGCTTTTCAAAGAAATTATATTAAGCGGACTGTTTGAACAGTTCCAATCTCCTATTATCCATTCAGATTCTATAACAATTGTTCTCTTAAAACTCATTCGCTGCCAACCCTCTCAGTTACAATGCATATTTGGCGCCTACAGTTTTTTTTGGGCAGTGGAAGAGTCGCAAGTGATCTGGAACCTATTCCAGCTGACAATGGGCAGGACCTTAACAGTCAAGTACAGAGCAAAATTTCCAATAAATAATCAATCAAATTGAGAATGATGTAGCCACAAAGAGTGACTTCAACACCCTTGGCCTATAATGTGTAAAATAAGTTGTCCAACTGCACACCGCTTAAGACCTGATATCTTCTCGGGCGTTTCCATGTTTAAATAAATACAGTACAACTAAACAGTTGGATTGGTATTTTGGGGTGTATGAGGAATACGTTTATTTTTGCAACATTAACATAACCGTTGCGCAAACGTCGTCTTTTGTAGAATTTTACAGTAACCAATCCCAAAATACACCTTGGAATGTGTTAATATTTTTCTAATTGTGGTATGACACCAAAGTGGAAAGGTTAATGTCTGGTTTGCTATTCTGCACTTTAATAACAAACTGCAAATTGCAACAATGCAACTGAAAAACTGGGGGGGAGAATCTGTTTGTCAAACTATACAAACTTTAAACCGATGGGGGTGGAACATGTTACAACCAGAAAACAAGAGTAACGTCAAATGATTTTTATCAGCTTTGGCGGAAGGCTGCCAACAAGCATGCCAAAAAAAAAGAAAAGAAAGAAAAAGAAAGGTCACTTACAATTCCTTATGTCCGAAATGAAAACGGCTAATCCGCGCATTCCATCTCCTTTCGACACAGCCGGCATTTCTGCAGGTTTTCACTCGGCCTGAAAGTAAAAAATATCCGCCGTTGGTCAGCTTCTTCGATGAAGAGGACGATGGGCAACTTGGAAGTGGAGGACGAGCTAGCTAGCTACTTAGCGCTGTCCGTCGATCGTTAAGAAAAGAGAAAACTTTGTGATTTCGTGTTTTCTGGTGATGTTGCTTTGAGTATGTGGCAGGCTCGATGGCATTGATCATAAGGTTCGCTGAATGGCGGTGAGCAAGGCGAAGCACGGTAAATAAACCTCCCCGTTAACTGGCACCTTTACGCTGGCTATATGTCAAGCTATTTCATTCAATCCTCCTCGAGCGAGGATTAAACGCGAAGAACACGACACACGGCTACGGTAGGAATGTACTCGATATTTAACACTTCGCGCGGCCTTGATGTCTTGCGGACCAGCGTAACAATTGCAAAAACTGGGGGCGTCGATGAAAATCCCGCACGAGAATACGCCGTTAAGTTGTCCTCGAGTCACAGGCGGCGTACGGCTAGCTGAAGCGCGAGCTAGCTAGCTAGCTGGCTGGTTGGTTGGTTGGCTGGCTGGCTGGCTAGCGATAGCGTTCAAATGCTGCAATATATCACCGGTTGAGCGAAACAACAACACTTTACTGTTTGTTGTCAGCCTACCGATACAAAGCGTAGCTGTGGTGTTTTTATCGTGCGGCAAAGGAAGTATAGCTTAGAATTTCCGCGTGTTCTAATTCTCCAGGTCTTTTACCCCGCTCCCTGGGATCAAGCTCGTGACAGCAGCTGCACTACAGCGTGACCGCGCGACGCACTCGTGCACGCGTACGCTCCCTCCACTATCTACCCGTCGAACGCCAAAGTGAAGTCCCTGTAAAGTGAACATAAAAATGAATTCTAAATGTGACACACTACAGAGAAGAGTGTTCTTAACAAACCTGCCAAATGTGAATCGATAAAACATTCGCCAATTATATAAAGAGGCTCCGAAGTATTGATGGGCGATACCAGACATTTTTTTTCTGACAGGATACCGATATTTTGTTTAAAAAAAATTTACCCCAAAAAATACATGCTAATAACCGATAATTTAATCTGTTTTGGTCAGCAAAATCGGTGTCAAAAAAACTTTTCCTACGTTTGGAAGGACGTACCTCTTCATCCTGTCTTACCTGATGGTGTTTTCCAAAAAAAGGCAAGGGCAGGCAGGGTAGTATGAAGTTTCGGAGATTTGACTTTCGGAAGAGGGTGGCACAGTGGATGCCTGGTTAGCACACCTCCCCACAGTTCGGAGGTTATGGATTGAAATCTGGGCTTTGGCCTTCTTGTGTGGAGTTTGGATGCGCTCCTGCATCTGGTTTTGTTTACGACAGTTTGTCTGGTTCTTTCTCCCACATTCCACAGCTGACGGACTCTAAATTGTCTTTAAGTGTGAATCTGAGCGCGAGTGATTGTTGTCTATACGTGCCCTACGATTGGCTGGCGACCAATTCAGGGTCGACTTGGATGGAGGGACTCAACCATTGACTCTGTCACCGACGGCTATTTAGATGTTTCAGTAAACTTAAAACGCTGCTCTATGTTTATAATGCGGTCAAAAAAAATTTAAGGAAAAATATCACCGTTTAATATGACCCAAAATGCATGTTTTTCGAATGTGGAAGGAAGCTGGAGTATAATAAAATAATTTTACAACAGAAAATGATGGAACTAAATGAATGTCTCTTTAATTTTAATCAAAGTTACGACAAATCACAATTATTTTATTATATGTTTGCACTCACCCATACATAATGAACATTTTAAGTATGGTCGTTTTTTAACCTCATCGACCAATGACCTTGTCCATCTGTCACATTAGAAAATAAAAAGTGAGCGTCAATTTGCCAACCGCACGATCAAACAATTCACAGACATTATGTAATGTGCATCTCCGAACAGACGATGGTGCTAGCGTACCAAAACAACGGGTTGAAGTCCCACTCAAGACGCAAGGTAAACGAAGAAGAGTGTAGCCGCTTTCTTTGGTTGCGCAAGGTAAGACTGCGCTCTCTATTCGGTTTCGCGCAGTCAGGCACAAGATCGAAATGGCGGCGCCAGCGGAGAGGATGGAGGTACGATTTCATAACTAATAACGTTTTCAAGTTCTCGTTTTTATTGTTTTTATACAATCGTAGTCTCCTATCGGCTTTTGGTGTGAGCAGATAAACTGATTGTTAAACTTCCTAACGTGAAGGTCTTTATCACATACGCATCAGGTGAATCGTCCATTTTAACTTGGATCCCAAAACCTTAAGAACCTGTTCTGGTTGCGTTTACTGCCTGTAAACGGTCTCGCGTTGTCCTTAAAATGTGAAGCGCCAGATCCTCCGGGCAAAACCGCTATTCGCTTAGTTGTCTTGAATTGTCTTTTAGACCGCGTGGGGACCAACATGTTAGCTCCTCGGCTAGTTAGCTATCAGCCACGGATGCTGATTCATTCTCTTATTGGGTGTGCTACGGTTTGGGGTTGTCTTTTAAAAAGCTTTGAAGATGGCTCGCTTGCTTTCGGTGTCGCTTCGGACACCCTCGTATGGTTTGCCGCCCTTTTTCACCCCCGTTCACCGATGACCGGCTAATTAGTAGCAAGCACTAGGGAACGGCGGGGTGTCCAAGCCGTACAGCGCGCTGGCGAAGCTGTGCGTACACTACGTGTAATACACACACAGTAAAGGGGAGCGATCGCGTCAATGGCTGGCAATCGTTTGATGCGACTTTTTAAGCCGTTCGCTTTTCTGAACTTTCCATTGAGCGCCTGCGCGAACAAGGCCAAGATCACATCGCAGTACTCCAACCATGTGCTCGCATCCTTTGTGCAGCGAGTCAAGCTACACATTGCACAGTGGAGTGGAGGTGATGCATATCTAGGAGATTGCAACGTTTTTGCCACGAAAACGCTGTTTTGAAGGAGAGCAAACGTTCATCTTTTCAAACGATATAAGCCTACGGTGTGGTATTTAACAACATCAAAAAAAAAACCAAAAAACATCTGCCTGCCTGCTGACGTTATAAACGTATTGTATTTTATGTCCGCAGCAGTTTGAATGCAAGTTCCCACTTAACAAGGGCCAACAGGTGGCTGTCCTCTATCAATGTCAATCATCAAAGAGGCTAATGATGTGTTGCAAAGCTACATAATGCTGCAGAGAATCTGAAACTGTGATCACTTAATTTTAGTGCAACCGCATTTAGACAAACTAATGTATGGCAATGCCTAGCGCCGCTGCTGGCTCTCGGATTCATCACTAAGACGGAAAACAACCGTTATCATAATGCCAAGAAATTCTTCGATACGAACTTGCGGATGGATGGATACCTGCCTCTGGTGAATCACGGCCACCATAAAGGATAAATTGGGATTTGTTTAGGAGTTTACATTGTGGACTTAATGTAATTGTGTGTGTTATTGTTGAGATTTCTCAGGGGGAAAACATGGCAAAGCCTGCTGCTGAAGATATGACATCAAAGGATTATTACTTTGACTCATATGCTCACTTTGGCATCCATGAGGTAATTTGAAAACTTTTCCTTTTTTTGTTCTCCCAACACACACAGTCCTGTCCTTTTTGTCGCACAATTTGAATCTTGACTTTTGTCGGCAAATGTTGTAGGAGATGCTAAAGGATGAAGTGCGGACTCTGACCTACCGCAACTCTATGTTCCACAACAAGCATCTGTTTAAGGACAAAGTGGTGCTGGATGTCGGTAGTGGCACAGGCATCCTCTGCATGTTTGCTGCCAAGGCTGGAGCCAAGAAAGTTATTGGGGTAGGTTTGTGTTTGTATGCCCGACAAAGTGATTGCTTGAATCAGATGTGAACTTTAAATGAAATATTGCCATTGTGTATTTCTGTATAGATTGAATGTAGCAGTATCTCAGATTATGCTGTGAAAATAGTGAAGGCCAACAAGATGGATGATGGTGAGTGAACTCATAACTGGGGGAGATGCCGCAATGATTTGGAGAGGGGACTGAATGTATTTGCAAGGATGAAACTAAGTTTGTTTTTTTTTGGTCAACAGTGGTAACTATTATCAAAGGGAAGGTGGAAGAGGTGGATCTCCCTGTGGATGGAGTAGATATCATCATATCTGAGTGGATGGGCTACTGCCTTTTCTACGAGTCCATGCTCAATACAGTCATCTATGCACGGGACAAATGGCTGGTATGTGAAAAATGGACGATGGACCGCAAATGGCCCTCAGGCTGTGGTTTGGGCACTATTTTAAAAACTAGAAATGCAGTCGTCATGCAGATAATTTTGACCCTTCCCCCCAATCTCTTCTTGTGCCCTAACAGAAGCAAGATGGACTCATTTTCCCAGACAGGGCAACGCTTTACGTGACTGCCATTGAAGACAGGCAGTACAAGGACTACAAAATTCACTGTGAGTGGCAATGATGAATTACTGTCAAAAAAAGGGACCATCAAAAATTCACAAGGTTTAAAAATTGTATTTTTTACATGTATTTTTATCAATGTTCCACTCTTTTACCCCTTTCCTACCAATTTGAAAGTGAAACCTGAACAGTCCCACTGCGGGAGTGAGCTTGTGTCCCCCGTGTGTGTATTTCAGGGTGGGAGAATGTATACGGATTTGATATGTCGTGCATCAAGGAGGTGGCCATCAAGGAACCCCTGGTCGATGTCGTGGACCCCAAGCAGCTGGTCAGCAGCGCCTGCCTCATCAAGGTGGGAGAACAAGTCACATTTTCTCCACAGTCAAAAGCATTTTGTGTGCGTCTTTTGGCTTTTTGGACTCTTGCCCTTGGTGCCTTGATGCCTGCAGGAGGTGGACATCTACACGGTGAAGCCGGACGACTTGACCTTCACCTCCCCGTTCTGCCTGCAAGTCAAGCGCAACGACTACATTCACGCGCTTGTTACCTACTTCAACATCGAGTTCACCCGCTGTCACAAGAGGACCGGCTTTTCCACCAGTCAGTCTGCTTGCCCTGCTTCTTATCGTGGAGTGTTGGTATTGTACAAAATATGACACGGGGTCCTCCGTTCACTGTGGAATTCTCTTCCGATGAGGGTGACGTTAACACTCCGGAACAGCGGTAAAGTCATAATCATCGCAATTGCGCATGGAACAACAGCTGGAGGCCGTGAACAAGAAACCCGTTGAGAAGCAAAGTAGGGCGGTAACTGAGCGTGCCTTCACGTCTTGACAACGGATTCTTACCGTGGTTTATTTGAACAATGGCCTGACCATTGCCCTCGTAAAACTGGAAAAGATCAAACGTGGCGCAGGCGCACCACACACCATTATGCTAATGGCAAGTGGCATCGTATGTTCAACAGTCTGAAATTTCCAAGAAAACATAATTACGCAAAACAAAAACTCGCGTTATGATCTTGCCATCACATGTACTCGTGGACAAGAAATAAAATCGGATTCGATGTGGTCTTCCACATCAGTAAACAATACACCAAACGGCCACACGGGGGAGCGCTCAGGCTACAGATGAACCGCATCACAACAGGTAGAAGATTGGACACGGCCGACTTCTTGACTAACGGTGGTATCGAAACATGTCTTTTTGAAATGATAAATGGCGCTAGATGCAATGGTGTGAAACAAGACGTTGTCACGTGGCACAAGACACGCTCAGTTACTGCTGTATTGATTCCGTTTTCATGTATTTGTATTTATGGCCCGAGTGTTTTCCATCAGTATTTGACTAATTCTGGCTTTGCTGCTGTGTTACTGTGGGCTAGACTTGTGCTGCACTTCGTCTTGTGGGCAGCAGCACAGACGAAACTGTAAATTGAGTACTTAATTTGAAATGATTGCCTCAAACTGATAAAAGTTGAAGCCCATATCGCCAACTCCCAGTGGTCCTATTTGGCAAAATTGAGCTTTTACAAATCGGAAGAGTTGTCCGGAAAGGTCGTCGGTGCGCTTTGCTTGAAATTGCAAATGGCATGCCATTTAACACAGTGGCTGTGTTGTCCCCGCGCAGGCCCAGAGTCCCCCTACACCCACTGGAAGCAAACTGTCTTCTATCTGGATGATTACCTGACCGTCAAGATCGGAGAAGAGATCTTGGGCACCATCAGCATGAAGCCAAATGTCAAAAACAATGTAAGTGTTTCAACTGCTTGTTTTAATACAAAGTCGAATGAAGATGAGTGGCTTGTGTCACTCGCAGGCTTAGTTTTGGAAGGTTCTCATTTAGACTGTCGAGAGGAAGTGAAGACCTGCAAATGAGCGGAATTTCTTGAACTTTAATGAAAAGAAACGTACCAGCCTGCGGACTTGGGGTCCCCTGGCTCCTTATCTTAGGAGTCGCCAACTTGGGTCGTAAACCGGACCGGCATATTGGTGCTGTTATCCAATGCAGCTTCTTCCATCTTAGGCGGCTGGCTAAAGTCAAGCCTCTCCTTTCTCTGGTGAGTGCTTTGGAACAGTCCTTCACGCCTTTGTCACACCTCTGCTGGATGACTGTCACGTACTTGACTTTGGAGTCAGCCACTCCTCCATCGAGCGTCTCCAGTTGCTCCAGAATCCTGCTGTTTGACTCTTGAGGGAGCACCTGACTCCTAGTCTGGCATCCCTTCTCTGGGCCCTATCTGAAGAGTTTTTTGAAGATCCAATGATTTGTTTTCCAATCTTGAAATGGTCTGTCCCCACCGTCCCTCTCTGAGCTCCCTGCCCGGTGCCTCAGGTCTGTGGACCGGACACGAGTCGAGGTAGTGAGAACTAAGCGGAGGCTGAGAGGCGACGTAGCCTTTTTCGTTGACGCTCCCTCTCTTTGGAATGAACCTTCGGCAAAAAAATATATATATATATATATTGCCGCAGGGCAACTTTTGGGTCAATTCAGAACCATTGCCTTGTGAACTATGGATGGCATTCTTCCTGACCTTAATATAAAATATATAACAGATTGTCTCATTGATCAGTGAACATTATTCATGACAATGGCTTATGATGTCATTTGAAAGGGATTCCTTATAATCTTGAGTAAAGGCCAAAGTAACGCAGTCTGCTCCACAGCACTGCTCATTCCTCCACTTGTGGTGATTGTATGTCCCCAAAACGTGCCCCAACATGTTTGACGGGCAAATGCCGCTGAAACGGCTCATTCTTGGGACTCATACTGAATGCGTCTTTGTCCGCAGAGAGACCTGGACTTCACTGTGGATCTCGCCTTCAAGGGCCAGCTGTGCGAAGTGTCCAAGACGTCGGAGTACAGGATGCGCTAGCGGCCTCTTATTACCGACCCCACACCCCCGTATAGCTTGTCTTTAGAGGCTGACATGTAATGGTTTGACCACGAGTATGGAAACCGTTAAAATAGTCCCCCTGCAGCAACTTTTTTTTTTTTTTTTTTGGCAGGGGGGGTTGTATGATTTTCTTGTTCAAATATTTGCCATGTATAAATGTTTTTCCAAGTTTTGGGGGGAGTGAGTTGGCAGTGAGACTCGTGGTGCAGTAGTCAACCATATGCATGTTTTGTCTCCATCATCACCGAGTTTCCTTCTTGTTTTTTGCACATGCAAGACCCCCAAAACGCACGCTCTCTCGACGGAACAACTTGGACAGTCGCTTGGGCTACTGCTCTCCTTGTTTCTTTGGACTGTGTTGAAGCTGAAAACATGTAGATTCTTGGTCCCCCCCCTCCCTTAAAAATATGGCTTCTTTTAAACCCAGTGGGAGTTCATTTGGGACTCAAACTAAAACAGTATTAAGATTTGAAAATTGAATCCCGAGCTTATTACTACCAGCTCCATTTTAGGGGGGCACTGGCGGGGGTGTTCTTCTTGACTGAGAAGGTCAACACTTGCAACTTGTATTTTATGTGTCAAAAACTTGTGCTCCTTAGTCCCGTTACGATGACACCAGGTCACGTGAAGTCCTCCCCACCGAGTTTTCTTTTAGCAGCTCAAATCGTATGACATTTTGAGAGCCAGATGTCACCATCCAAAGTTCAAGTTTTTAGTGTTTAGTGTACCGCCAGTGCTCATCACTGCTGGGCCTGAGAGAGGAACAGAGACTGCCTGGTTCCAGCTGGTTGCACAGCTCCATAGGTGTCTTCTTGGAGCACCTGTGTTCAAGTATGCCTTCATGTATTGTCTGAGGCAATTTGAGTCGGTCGAAACTGAAGTAATCGTGTGGGCACGTGACAGACATGACTCACCACACTGACTTTTTTTTTCCTTTTGTTTTTTTTTTTGTCGGCTGCTTTTTTTTTAATAGTGAAATTAAAACTGTAAATTAAACTTTTTTTTTGGTTTGTTTTGCACCTGCTCCACTCATTTTGATTGCTTTATTGTTCAAATAACAATTGTAAACAATTTTTACTATTTATAAACAAGCAGTCCTTGGTCATTTATGGTTGCAAGTAAAGGTCTGAGGAAAGTGAAATTGCTGATTTTATTTTATTTTTTATGCTGTCCAATATTGTCACCCTTCTATAAAAATGGCCCAATAACCTAATTCTGATCGGATTATATTCAATAATGGAATTTCAGGGGGTGGAAATTAATGATCTGTTTGACTAGGGAGGGAGCCTTTTTTGGCAGGGATGCCACTGATTTTGTGGCATCAAAATATTACTTGGGGTGGGCAATGCATACATTTTGAAATGTCGATCAGACATTAAGTATAATTCCTCTGCCATTGGGAGCTTGTGTTGAACATTAAAAAACGATTTTTTTTTGGGCAGTTGGTCACAAGGAGGTGAACCTTGCCCCATCTTTGCTTGTGAATGGCGCAGCAGTTCAGGGAAGCTCCTTTTCTACTCAATCGTGGCACTCGCCTCTTCCCAGTTAACCTGCCAATATTTTTATTTATTCATTGAAATCTGCAGGGATTTGTGTTTCCAGCCCAGTACAATCCAAACGTCATGAAAAAAAAGCGACCACGCAAAACCAAACCAGGCAGAGCGTTCCAGTGGTTCCTAGGATCCGTCCTCGGCTTGGGGGTTTGCCTGGAACGCAGCGCCCTCGAAAAGTGAGAGAACGCTGTACTGTACCTGTAAGTGACGTTACAATGTTACACCGGAGTCGAGTTTCATCTGCTCCACCGCGTGGCGGACCGACCGGACGAAACGGAATAGGCGTGTGGTGGGCGTGGCTACGTCGAAAGGGAGCGCTAATGAGTAAGACTGGCTTACATATGGCAACGAGGGAGTGGCCCCACTCCACCCGTGATTGTGTAGGTTTATGAACGCATGCGAGGGAACTGGCACTCTCGCATGCACAAAACAAACCGCCCAAACTCCGACGCTTCCTTTAGTTGCTGTGCAGGCACAACGCGGTGTGGCCACCTTGTGACTTTTCAGACCCTTCGAGCCACCCGTTTTCCAAAAAAGAAACAAATCTAGCGACTTTTCGGGCGTTCTCGGAGACTCCGATGTGTGAAAGTGCGTCTCGTTCTTCTTGCTCTCGACATGCGGCGGGTGCTTCCGTTCGGCTGGCCGGTCCTCTGGCGCGACGTGAGTCTTCTCCGGCGTCCATTTCAGCAAGCGAGCGGTCCACGATGCAAATCGGGGACGGTGGCGTCCTTTAGCGACTTGTTGCGACTTTCCTGACTGAGGAGTTGGCAAAGCTGGCGCGATGAGGACAGACGACCCCTCCCCGCTCGGTCAAAAGGCAAGGTGAGTCCCCTGCCCCCCTGACGCGATGACACTGCCCGGGCATCGAATCGAGGAGGAAGGAGGCGCGTATTGTCGGTCAAGTCGCTCGGGAATACGTGACGTCACGGCCGGGGCGAGGCTTCCAGAGTCCCTTGGCGGTGTGCCGCGGACCGAGACGGAGACTGGCAGAGAAGAGAGCGCGAGGAGGCAGGATGAAGAAGAGCGACAAGGCGGACAACGGCGGCGGTCGCGGAAAGTCGGAAATTAAGAGAGAGAAAGTTCAGGTACGCCACCCGACCACCTCGACAAATGATGCCGCTCGGTTGGAGCGTGCCGCCGCTTTCTTTCCCCCCCGCAGCATTCGAAAGTGATCACCTTTTCAGATTAATGATGCCGCTCGGTTCGAGCGTGCCGCCGCTTTCTTTTCCCCCGCAGCATTCGAAAGTGATCACCTTTTCAGATGAAGACTTTTGCCATGGAAACATTGAGCGTTGCCGCACATTGCTTGAACGCAAGGGAAACGAAGATCAAACTTCCCCGATTCGAACAGCTTTCAAGGGAGACGACTAGAGCAGGCGCTCTTCCACGAGCGAACACAAAACTGTTGGGACATCTCGTCACTCCCCCATAAAAACGTGACATTCATTTGATCACTTTAAGGATCAAATATAAGATCTAAATGAATGCGATGTGAATATTCCAGACGGCGCCTTCCAAAACTACAAATCATGGCACGTTTTGTGTGCGAGAAGCGATGACCACTTACACCTCGGGCAGGTGGTGATTCCAGCCTGCTACAGAGAAGACACATAAACAGTTTGGAAAAGCAAAAGGAGCGAACCGGTCGAACCAGTCCTCATTCATTGAGAGTCCCAATGACTTACTTCTGCTTTGCAACTTCTTGATTAAACACACACGCACGCAGGCGATATTGTTGAGAGGCATTTGCACTCATGCCTCAACTTGAAAGGCACTCCGTTTTCTTAGCGCACCGGTAGAAATCCAATAGAGACCAATCGATTGGCCTTTGGCCATGAATTACTTGAGATATTGAATTGGGCTGTTCAACGCTAGCGTGATTAAAAACAAGATTTATTGTCACGGACTCTCACGCGGCGGTCCCCAACCGCCGGTGCGCCGCCTGGCACCGAGCCGCACAGAGGCTGAACTGCGCTTTCCACTTCTCTTCTTTGATCAATTGATGAAGATCATTCTTCTGCTCAGACTTGGATCCCGAAGATCGTCAAGAAGCGAGTGTGCACCACCTTTGTTGAAGATGCTTCCAGGTCAATATCTCTTGATATAAACGCAAAATAATTGTCATGAAATTGTGATGATCTGCCTGAGACAAACACCCTCAGCCCACCCCCACATTCACACACACACACACACACACACACACAAACACCCTCAGCCCACTCCCACATTCACACACACACACACATATCCATGAATCTGTAAAACATCCTTTCAAGACAGATGTTCATACCTTAACCTGACAAGACTTTTTAATTTTGTAGCTTAAACATGAACCCGATTGCAATTGGTTGGTTGAGAAGGTTGCCAGTGAGGTCAAGGAAAGCTTATCCAGCATCTGTGATACTAAGAAGCAAAGAATAACAGAATGTCTGTGTGTGTGTGTGTGTGTGTGTGTTTATGTCAGTAATGGAGTACTATGTCAGTGCGGTCATGTGCGCAACGTGCATAACGTCTTGGAGCCAAGGGACTCCGGCGACGGTGGCGGCGCCGCCGAGTGGGACAGTAGTCAGCACACCACCGAGTGCACCACCGATGCCTTTGGAGAGCTGGAGTTTGCTGGCGCCGCACGTCGACACAGCTACGTGAGTGGCGTCGCTCGACAGACACGGCGATGACAAACGCAGACTTGCCGTCGCCGACGGAGGCAGCGCACCGGTTGGCTGAGCAGTCGCCATTTGAAGAAACTCGCACGATGGAGGCCCACCTTTTGTTCTTATTCGCACTGTTCGCAAGCCAGCGGGCCGGTGCTCAAAGCACGTCGCCTCACTCATGCAGTCGCACGGTTGGCGGTGGAGAGCCTCCTTCAGAAAAATGCATGATGGGCCACTTTCAACTTCAATTTAGTCGTAGTAGGAGTAGTCCAAAGTCGTCTTCGTCCGAGTGTGACGCGACAAGCCCGTGAAAATAAAGGCAATAAGACAGCGAGTCATGTTTTCAACTCACCATTGTGATGTCACAGAGCGTCAACATTTTGTGGTCGTTCTCTTTGTCCCGTCTAGTTTCTGCGGCTGTCATGCGACACGCAACCTGAGATCATCTACAACCTGATGACAACCTACTGGGCTTTGCCCTCACCCAACTTGGTGGTGTCAGTGGTGGGCGGCGAAGGCTGTGAGAATATCGCGACGTGGCTACGAGAGGTCCTGAGAAACGGTCTGGTTCGGGCTGCGCAGAGCACGGGTGAGAAAAGTTTCGTGGAAAGTGACCAAAGAAGCGGGTGATCTTTTTCGGACATGGCGCCCGACGCCGCAGCTCTGCTTACCCCTTTGGCATTGACACGAGCCACCGTGAACAGCGACGGCTCTCGGAGGACGGTTGACAAATTAGGATGGCGGAACTCAGAGGAGGCGGCGCTTATGATGTCAATTCGCCAAAAACATTTCCAGTAGATTCACGTCTCATCGGATGCAGGCACCCTTGAGAGCGAACTAATTGTATCTGACAACGGGCCGCGCTTTTCGGAAGCAAAAAGTTCCATTTTGGACTCATCAGTCCGCGGAGTTTTTTTCCCAAAAGTCTTGAGGAACATCGAGATGTCTTTTGTCAAATGCGAGACAAAAGTCCTGAAATATTCTTTTGTCGGAGCGTCGTCATTTCGTCACTAAGTTTGCGTATGTATTTCGAGCTGACCCACTTAGGACCGAAAGATCCCCACCTCTGTTTTTGAAAGGGTTTTTTTTTTCTTCTTGATTTGCCTGCATGTCAGGCGAGCAGCACCCGCACGGGTGTGGCTTGTTACCGGTAAATCAGACCGACCTGGCGGGCCTTCAATAGCGACGGACAGACACGCTGACGAATTTGCGCTGCCCTCGCTGTTTGCAGTGTGAAAAGGCCTTGACACGTTGTCGCGCCCAGCCCAAATTTTTCATCGCAAAAACAATTCAACCAGGCAGTCGAGGGCCTGAGCCTGAAGTAGGCGCAAAGTTTTAAAAGGAAGCCGCGGGTTACGGAACCGGAGGCGTGTGAGTACAGGCAAAGCTGGTTGAGCTCATTTCGTGGCGGCGGCTGACTGGTAGAACAAGGCAGAGGCAAGCAAAGGAACAGATACCGGCGCAGGCGCGGTGAATTTGCCGAGGGAGCCGGTGGGGTAACATTTTGGAAAGGATACAAACACCTTCAGAGCTAATGTGCAACGACATGCGTCCACAGCAACACAATTTGACAGCGATGAGCAGCAACAAACATGCGTCTACTCTCTCGGTACAGCCATGTTTGGAACCTTTTTGTCAACCCCCTCAAAAAAAAAAAATCTTTTAAAAACGATATATATACAGTATATACACACACACACACACATATATATATGTGTGTGTGTGTATGTATGTATGTATTATGATTTTTTTTTTGTTTACTAAAATGACCAATTTTGCTCAAATTGTCATCACTCTTTCAGTCGACAGAGAAAGGAAAGAAAGAAAACATTTTCAGAAGAAAAAAAAAACCCCGCAGAGGACAAAGACAGAAAGCGCCCAAACAACCAAATGAGATGAGAAAAATGTCTGTGAAAAAAGGAAATCGAAAGCATGAACAAAGTCCTGACCCCCCCCCCCCCCCCCCCCCCAAAAAAAAAAAAACCTCAAAGGAGCAACCAAACACACCACTATGAGAAACAAAACAACCATGACAAAAGCACAAACATCTGACACGGTGTGGTTGGCGTGGCCGTGCTTTTTGAACTGTCAACGATGAAACAAAGCCAAACAAACGTAGACCAAAACAGAATCAGGACAACGTGACTGTCATTGTTTTGTTTTGTTTTTTTGTTTTTATTTTTTTCCATCATGAACCCGCGACAAGCTACGATGAAAGTGCACTTGGATGGAACCCATGCGTCTCTCGTTATTTGCTTTCAGCATCCCCGCTTTGAAGAGCCTGCCTGCTTTTCACGTGCAATCTTCAGCCAGTGGCTTGTCTTTGTTGTCCAGGGGCCTGGATCTTGACGGGGGGCATCTGGGAAGGCGTAGCCCGATGCGTCGGGGAGGCGGTGCGGGACCATGACGCCGCGGCTCCGGCTCTCTCGAAAAACAAAGTCATCGCGGTGGGACTCGCACCCTGGGGCGTCGTACACAACAGGCAGCAACTTGTAAATGCGCAGGTACGCCTTCATCACCGTCAGCTTCTTTTGTCCCGCGGCCGGCCGGCGTCGGTCTTCGGTTTCGCTCGTCCTTGGCGTGATCCTAAACGTGTTTTCTTTTGAAAGAGAGCTCAAAGTCGGGGGTGGCTCGTGCGACCGGACTAAAAGTAGACGCTCCTGATTGCAAAATCAACTCTGGTGTCTTCGAAGGGAAGCTTCCCAGCTCGCTACTATGTCCAGAACACATCGCATGACACCTGCTGCCTGGACAACAACTGCCAGGCTTTCCTGCTGGTGGATGATGGGAGCACCGGCAGGAGAGGAGGAGAGACAGCCTTTCGAGCCAATCTGGAGGACTACATTTCACATCAACGCACTGGCATTTGGGGTGAGTCGCCCATCTCCGTCCAAGGCACTAAGACTCAACTCAACGCGACGGTACTTCTCGAGCACTTTTGAACAGCCGCCGCTGTGTCCAAAGTGCCGTACGCGGAGCCAAAAGTATTCAGGCAACAACAAACAATAAAGCAAGCCGTTCGTAACGAAGACAGAAGAAAGCACATAAACCTTCCGACAAAATATTAAGTCTCGTGTGGAGTCGAAAGCTACAAAATAAAGCTGAGAGAAGTCAGGTGGGGCGTGGCCATTTCCAGATTTGAAAAACAAATGATAGAATCTTCAAAAATGAGCTGGGAGAGGGACGCCAGAGTCGGAGTGAGGTGCTCCCTCTCAAGAGGTGAGCGGCAGCATTCTGGAGCAACTGGGGACGCTTGATGGAGGATTGGCTGATTGTAAATTTGCTCGTCGTGATGGCACCAAATTTTTGGACACCCTTCCCACCCTGCCCAACTTCACCTTTTTTTAACTAACCTTGTGGCCCACGCCAAATGTCATTTTTAGTATATATGGACATCTCTCGATACTGTCTTTATTTTTTTATTTGTCATGTCGCGGGCCGCTTAAAAAACGGACGGACTGGCTCGAGAGCAAACGGTGACGGTCCTTATGTTGGCTGGCCGCTGTTCTACCCGCGGCCTGTGAGGGGTCTCGTGAAGGCGTGCATGCCAAAGTCTCCACTCACAAAGTGCCACAACTGTCACCTGCAGCCGCTGATGGCTTTGGATGGAAACCGGCAACTGCAGATTTCTAACCGATGTCAGTTTGGCCAGTAAATTCCCATTTTGGGGTCTTTTGAGCACAAGTTTAAAGACAAGAGAAAGCCCGTTTGGCTTTCTGCAACAGGAGAAAATCAACAAACGATGCCCAGATTTGTCCTGCTTGAACCTGCTATTGTGTCTCAACAGGTAGTGGGAGTATTGAAATCCCGGTGCTGTGTATGCTCATCTCAGGGGATGCTCGCATGCTAGAGGTGGGAACGCTACTCGCATGGTAACAGTAATATCTACGAATGGCTGTTTTCTGGCGATTTGTACTCACTTGGGGAATCGCCCACCATCCGAGGTCTCGTTTATTTTGCGTTTCTGTGTTATCTGTGCAGAGAGTCGATACATCTCTGAAGAGATCGACGCCCTGGCTCGTTCTTTCCGGAACTGGTCCGGCCGCAGACTTTATCAGCGAACTTCTCTTGAGTCTTGCCTGCAGCTCCGTCAGTCAGACGTGCCCGTCGACAATGTGCGAGATTGCCGAGTATCTTTCGGACATCCGTGAGCTGGTGCGCGACAAGGTCAATAGATACTTCCAAGGAGAAGATGACCTGGAAAAACTGGTGGACTGTGTAAGTTTGTCTGCATTCATCATTGTCTGCCGGTGGCTTGCATGGAATAGTCGCGCGCGTAGTCATTCCCCTGAAAATTCTTGAAATAAGACACGGACGGCGTTTTCGCTGCTTAAAAGCGCTCCCAGGCATCCCAAACATTGTGACGTCAAAATGCGCAGAGCAAAAATGACTCACTTGTCACCTTTTGGTTGCACTCATTTTGTTTTGGGAGGGAGTGGTTCTGTCTCATGCTAATGCAGGTACGAGCCTCATTCCCTTGACGACCGGGGAGTGGTTTATCTTGTCCCGAGGGCGACAATTTTATACATTAAAAGCTAAACGCCGTGCCAAGTCGATTTAATGAGCCGGAGGTGGGACGTGCGCTCAACTGCACGGAGGATCCTGCTTTCTCTCCAAACTTTGACGTTTGGAGCCCATTCAAAAGAACATCTTCCGGAACGTGCGCCCATTTGAGAGACCTCGCGTCCTTTCGAGACGACTGCCATCGAACATCGCTTGACTCTTTTCCTTCCACTCCTGCTGCGTGTCCAGGCGCTGAGTATTTATCAGAACCGAGAGCTCATCACTGTTTTCCACGGACAGCAAGAAGGACTATATGATTTTGATACTGTGCTCCTCAAAGCCCTCGTAAGAGGTATGTACACGGGTTACTTGAAAACGCAAACTCCATTGTGAAAAAAGAAAATTCTTCACGGGTCAGTGGCAGCGTGACCTTTCCCTCCAGGCGTGTGACATTGCTGTCTTTTTTTCAATATTTTTCTGCGTCAAGCTAGTAAACGTCTGTCCAGCGATGCCAGTCAGTACACCCAAGAGTTGAAACTGGCCGTGGCCTGGAACAGAGTGGACATCGCCAAAGCGGAACTCTTCGCTGGAAACATCCAGTGGACGGTCAGAGTCAATCTCTCAATCTCCTGAAACTTGATTGCTGTGTTGCCATTCATGCCATACTGGGCATGTCTGCTGTCATACATGTGGCTGTCTATGACTCGCGATATCTTCATCCTAACATCGCCTTCGTAAAAGAAAAAGAAAAGAACGGAGCCCATCAATGGAGCAGAAAGACGAGAATGCAATGGAAAAAAAAAAACAAAACACCAAATTGATCTTGAGTGAGGCCCAAGAGCCTGATTCAAGGCGATCTCTCTGGATTGCTCAATCACAGTGCGCAAAGAACCGCCGGTACTGCCATCACCCCAATTGGCAATTTTCAGAGTCTTCAATTCACCGAGCGAGCCCGCATGTTCTTATAAAGTCTGCGTGACCACAGAATGTCGAAGCGAGCGAGAGGCGAACACGGAACCCAACCAGAGAAGTCCGACCGAGCCGATCAAGCTCTTTGACCGCGAGGCAGACACGCGAGGGCGCGCCACCCGCATCTCAGGGTGTCCGCGATCCTTTGAGGAACGGCGTTGCGCTTCCTATCTTGACGAGATGATTGCATTTTCAGTACGAGGACCTGGACGACTCCATGACGGACGCCCTGATCAATGACAAGCCCCAGTTTGTGCGCCTCTTCTGCGAGAACGGTCTGAACATCGTGGACTACCTGACGTACGAGCGCCTGGAGAGCTTGTATCGCTCCTTCTCGGACAGCACGGTGGTCTACACTCTGCTTCGGGAGCATCTGAGTGACCGTCTGAGCCTGTCCGCGTCGCTGGCCAGTCTGAACGCAGACAAAGCGGGACGAACGGCGGCGCCCTGGCCCGCTTCGGCGCAAGAGCTCAGTCTGTTTGAGGTGAGGCCAACGACGCGGACGTCGGAAACCGTCTTGTGCAGAAGTCGCAGGAGGGAGTCCCATCGATGGTACTCGAGTGAATCATCGGCGTTGGACAAACGCTCCGGTTGATTTGGCGAACGAACCGCTTACCCGTCGGCCGCCCACGAGATCGCGATCGTCACGCCGCTGTTTGTTGTTGTCGATGATGCAGGTATCGTGCGTGCTGTGGGACCTGCTGGGAGACGTCTGTCAGCCTTTCTACTATGAAGTCCTGGGCCTGGACCCCGAATCCAGCCTTCGGAATGCCCTCAGAGTCCGTAACCCGCACTCCCTCCTCGCTCGAAGCTGTAGCCTTCAATTTGAGACGATGGACGTGCCAAAATCACGAGTGTCCACTCACGTCTCTGTCGCCCTTGCTGTTTTTCTTTTTCCTTTTCTTTGCTCTCAGCAAGTCATCAAGTTGCTGCAGGGGAAATGCGCCTACCGGGACAAACACTGCCAGTCTCCCTGGGCGGCGCTCTTCATCTGGGCCGTCCTGCAGAACCGCAGCGAGATGGCCATTTACTTCTGGGAGATGGCGAGTCTCCAAATGAAACTCTCCGTACAAATAGATCTTTTGCGCATGAGCGTCGACGCGGTCGACCCCCCTTTTGCTTTCGGACCGCATCGTTTGCATGGCGCCGCCGCGCGTACGGTTTTTGGTGATCTTTGACCGACCGTACCTCTGTTCCCCTTCAGGCGGGCGAGTCGGTGCTGAGCGCGCTGGGCGGCTGTAAGCTGCTGAGGGAAATTTCTCAGCTCGAAAGTGAGACCGAGAGCAAAGTGGCCGTGAAAGAACTGGCGCAGAAGTTTGAGGATCTCGCGCACGGTGAGATCCGGCCGCGTTTCCCGTCGAGCGCGGCGTGGCTTGCGAGCATTCCGCCGGTGACCTCCCACATCATCGGGATCCTTTTCAGACGTGTTTGGAGAGTGTTACCAGAGCAGCGAGAGGCGCTCGTTCAACCTCCTGATACGAAAGTCTCCGAGGTGGCCCGGAACCACGTGTCTGCAGATGGCCACTGCGGCTGACGCTCGCCATTTCTTCAGCCACGACGGCGTTCAGGTTGGTCCTTACCCGGCCGGTCTCGTTCCGCTCTTCCGTTTCGCTCAGCCGCTTACCAACGGAAGACGAGCGGTTTCCTCGGTCACGATTGACAGCTGCCAACAACAGCGCCGAGCGTCCGTGGCGTCTCGTGAGTTTGCCGTGCCTCCCGTCAAGCCGCCGCCGCCGCTCTCTGCCATAGGCGCTACTCTCCCAGATCTGGTGGGGCAGCATGGACCGAAGTACCCACGTCTGGAAATTGGTCAGCTGTTTCTTCGTGCCCCCCCTCATCTACACGGACTTAATCGCCTTCAGGTCCGGCTCCGGCGGCATTCTGCATTCCGCGATGGCTTGCGAGGGAGATTTGAACGGCCGGCTGTTTTGACACAGGAAGGACGAAGAGGACGCGGGAGGCGCCGAGGTCCGCCACGTCGAGACTGACAACAGAGACGCAAATGATGCGACCGTCCTGCCCCTGGAAGACATGATCCACAAGTAAAGGCGTGCATCCGTTCGTTCGTTGCCTCGTTCCAAACCGGAAGGAGCTTTGAAGTGCCGATTTCCAAACTCTTGATTCTTTGTTGTGCGCTCACTAGTGATGGTCACGCTGAGGAGGTCAGGGCTCTCACAGAAGAAGTGAAAGGTGGGTCTTCAGCACGTCTTGTTTGGTAAATTGACGCCGGTCATGTTTTCTCTGCTCACTGCACCCCCCCCATAAATCATCAAATGGCTGCCGAACACCCGGAAAGGATGTTTCGATCCAAGGTGGTTCGTTCGTGTGAAGATGTTTTCTTCACGTCCACTTTTAGCACGTGCTGAATCTCCAGCAAATGGACGTGCAGTATCCCGATGACGATTGAATACCTCCACAGTACGCTGACCATGTCTGACTCATGACTGTAGCTGAAAAAAAACCAAAAAAAAAACTCCATCTTATAAACCCGCAGAGTCAACCGCAGCCGTTAGAGGCAACATTGACGTCGTCGGTATCGTGGGCCTCGGTCCAACACGATACGACATGCGTCTGGTTTTCATCCTCCTTTTGCCGTTGTCCCTTTCAGCCTCTTCGGCCGAATACCTCCACAGTACGCTGACCTCGTCTGACTCATGACTGTAGCTGAAAAAAAAACAAAAAAAACCTCCATCTTATAAACCCGCAGAGTCAACCGCAGCCGTTAGAGGCAACATTGACGTCGTCGGTATCGTGGGCCTCGGTCCAACACGATACGACATGCGTCTGGTTTTCATCCTCCTTTTGCCGTTGTCCCTTTCAGCCTCTTCGGCCTCCAAAATGAGAAGACCCTTCATCGTGTCACAGTGGAGAAAATTTTGGTTTGCCCCCGTCACCTCCTTTCTGGGCAACGTGCTGATGTACTTCCTGTTCCTCGTCTTGTTTGCTTACGTCCTGTTGGTGGACTTCAAGTCCCCGTCTCAAGGCGGCCCGTCCAAGCTGGAATTTCTGCTCTACTTTTGGGTTTTTACCTTAGCGTGTGAAGAGTTTCGACAGGTCAGTGGTTCCGCCAAAAGCTTGGACCGGTCGCGATGAAATTGGGATGAAAGATTCCCGACAAAAGCAAAGATTCGCAATCGCGAACGCAACGTCAAAGTCTCTCGATGTTTGGTCGACAGAGCTTCTTCATGCCCAACAACTTGCTACTCCAGAGGCTGAAGACTTACATCCAGGATAAATGGAATAAGTGTGACCTCACGGCCATCGTCATCTTCATTTGCGCTCTGTGCTGCAGGTGAGCCAGGCGCTTTTCTTCCACATCTACCGTATATCCTTAGACCGGCGCGACGCCACAAGTCAGACTCGCGTGTTTCTCTTTCATCAAAACGTCGACATTTGATGTGCGCGGGCACTTTTGTGACGCAGACGTGCTTTTTTTTTTTTTTCCGGTTTCATCAAAATCATTCCATGAAGACGAATTGCAGCCGACGCTCAGCACACGATTTCTTGTCGCCAGATTCCCGCCCGAGCAAGCCGCGAAAATTCTGTACGCCATGTCCAAACGATCCTCACTTTTCACGCCCTTTCCCCTTTCCATTTTTATGGATGTGGCCCTCCCACGAAAATGTTTGCGGACACCCCCGGCTCCCGCGTTCACCCCGCAACCCGTTTGAAAGTGGTTTACGCTCAGCCCGAGTCGACTCTTTCTGTGTTTTTTGCATCGTTCAAGACATTGATGAAGCGGACGCGAGAGTTGTCGTTTTTTTTTGTCTTTCAGAATGTTTCCGTGGTCCTTCAAGTTTGGGCGCGCTCTGATGGCCGTGGATTATATCGTCTTCACCATGCGCCTGATCCACATATTTGCTGTCCACAAGCAGCTTGGGCCCAAGATCATCATTGTTGGCAAAATGGTAAAGGCTGTCAAACGGCAGCAAAGCCGACACGCTCGCTGAAGAATGAAAACATCTCGACGCGACTCGGTTTATGCCACCTTTCTTTCTTTGCGCAGATGAAAGACATTTTCTTCTTCCTGTTTTTCCTGGCCGTGTGGCTCGTGGCCTACGGAGTCGCCAACCAGGCGCTCCTCTACTCATATGATCCCCGACCGGATTGGATATTTCGCCGTGTCTTGCACAAACCCTACATGCACATTTATGGACTACTTCCCATGGAAGAAGTGGATGGTGAGTGGCTTCGTCTGTCTTCGGGCAGTAGGCGGGGGGGACACCCTGAACCGGTTGCCAGCCAATCACAGGGCATCCAGAAACCAACAAGGCTTGTGCCGAATGCGCTGACATTTCGACCTTTTCATTTCTATTCCACGTAGACGAATTATTTCAAGAAATCAACTGCACCGACAACAGGACACTCATTCAAGCGGGAGCAGAGCCCTGCATGAACACTTACGCCAACTGGCTGGTTATCCTCCTCCAGACCGTCTACCTTCTGGTGACCAACATCCTGTTAATCAATCTCCTCATCGCCATGTTCAGGTACGCTCAGAAGGATCCGTCGCGAACGCGTCAGTTCGGCTTTCCGACGCGGCCGACCCATGCGCTCTCGTTTCTTTTTCCTTTGCTGGCCCGCAGTTACACTTTCAACAAAGTTCAGGACCACAGCGACACCTATTGGAAGTTTCAGCGTTACAGCCTCATTGTGGAATACCATTCCAGGCCTTGCCTGGCCCCGCCGTTTATCATCATTTCACATCTGAACGTTTTCATCAAGCGATACATTCGACGCATCCCCTCCGAAAAGAGAAAACACTTTGGTGAGAACGGCACAAGGCGCCGTTCGAAAACGCGAGCGGCCTTTCTTTCTTTCTTTCTTTCTCCCCTGCTGCGTTCCAGCAATTGACTGTGACATTCTACTCTCAGTTTTGGAGCTGCAAGGCGTGAAGGCCAGCCGACTTAACATGTGGGAGGCCATCCAGAAAGAGGATCTCCTCTCTGCTCAGAACAAGCGACAAAGAGAGAGTGACACGGAGCGGCTCAAACGTACGTCCATCAAGTAAGTACCGCACTTGATACCTGATACAATTGGATAGTCGCAAATATAAAGGATACGATGTCAGTAATCGTCCTTTCTCATAAAAGTCAAAAGTCCCCAAAAAAAGAAATACTGTGTGTGTATATTTGAAGCCATCTAGTGGTAAACTTCTAGAATGCAACGACCTAAACTCGAACCGAGGGCATTTGGAGCATGCGCACGAGAAGGCGGCCAAGCGTGACACCTTGACTATATCGTGCGGGTTATTTATGGGAAATGAACGAAACTCCAGGTTGTGTGTGTGTGTGTGTGTGTGTGGAGGGTGGACAGTATGCTGAAGCGCATGGCAGAGAACCGTGACCACGACCGGCGTTTGCAGCTTCTGGAGACGGAGGTGAGCATTCCTCAGTTCTGCCTGGTACCTACCACAGCCAAAATAGGCAATTAGTTGCTTTCGACAAGCATTCAGAGTCCACTTGTTATCTTGTCAACAGTTACATTTGGAACTATTCTCAGTGTTGCAGTATCCTCTCTCTCTCTCTCTCTCTCTCTCTCCCCACCCCCCTCCCCAGATGGAGTTCTGCTGCAATGCCCTCTCCTGGATGATGGAAGCTATGTCTCAGAGTAATTTGATAGCGACGGACCGCACCCCTCCAATCCTAAGAGGTATACTGAACGCTCTGATCGAGGAACTCGCATTCACCTCCTTCAATCATCCCCAATCACAATAGCATGACTGAGGGGATTTTGATTGTCTCTTGATGCATTTAGTCTTTTTGTTTTTTCCCCCCCCCCCACTCAACTATTGTAGATCTGTCGCCAAGCTGAAGTGCCCGACGATGGATCTCTCTCACACAAACATGCAAGCATCCGTTCATTCACACGTTGGTTACTCAGGGGAAGAGTGTGTTTTTTTTTGTTTTGTTTTGTTTTTGCTATCAATTTACTGACGTACATTTCTTGACTGGGTTTGTGTTGATGTAGAATTTCATTTTTCTTAATTTCAACTGCGATAAAGTTCAATTTTGTGCACGTTTTGGCATCCATTTGAGAATGGGTTGTTGAGTGGAAAAGAAAATCCCAATCCTGATGGTGAACTTTTGTATTTTATGAGAAAATAAATTCTTCACCTAGAAAAAAAAAGTGGAACCAAAGACAATGTAGTCATCAAGTGAAGTTTTTGTTTTGTGGCGTTTTTGGCAAATTCAGCATTGCCATCTCTGGAGGGCACATGCAGCAAAGTTTGAAACATTTCCAGAAAATTAATGCATTGATGCATTCCTCAATTATTTGTATTCATTCCAAAAACATACGAAAGACTTTTCTCTTGGACACACACACACACACACTCACACCGCTGTGCTTCCACTACTCGACATTGTCCTGACAAAACCAAGACATCCCGATTGATCATGAAAAGTATTTCTGTGAAACACAGAATTGTTTGCGGAGTTGAGTGGCGTCGTCCGCGTCACGGCACGGTGCTCTCATGAGCCGGGCTCAAGGCTGGCCCTCGCTTGAAGCCGGGCCTTACATGGAAAGCGATGGGGCATGGGATCATATTGACGGAAGCAAACGAACGCCGGGGAGCGGGGGAGGGGGAGGGGTCAAGTCCGCTTGACCAACGGGCTGATCCGGCGCACTCTTCTGTCATCTCGTCACCACACGACACCTTGCGAGACTGTTTTTCTTTTCTTGGATGGATAAATTGAGGTGCATGCGTTTTCCCGATCCAGTATATCGGCACAAAGCTTTCCACCTCATTTAAAACGGAGCCCGAGTGGATCCGGTGATATTTGATGGTTTGAAGGATTATTTTTAAAGTGGTTCTACATAACTAAGCGGGTCAATGGGGCCAGAGCCAGTGGCGCAAGAAATGTCTTGGGCATGTCTGAGCTCATCTCCGCTTTCAACCACTTTGCAGTCTTCATCTCGACGCCACCTTCGCTTCCAAACTCGGCCCGTCTCCCACTGCTGCCCGTCTAGCTCGACGGCCAGAGTGACGTGCGGTGAGCCCTTGCGGCTGCTGAGGCGCTGACATGAAATTCAGAATGACAAGTTTAGGACCTAAACGGTTTGGCGCGATAGCCCAACGGTAGAAAGTTAAGACACGCTGGTCATAAGCAATGTTGCATTTACGTTGATCTACTGACAGTCCTTGACGTCTTTGTCACATTTCGGCTGTAACGCGCTCGACTTTGGAGTCAGCCGATCCTCCATGAAGCGTCTCCAGTCGGTCCCGAATGCCGCTGCTCGCCTCTTGACTGGTACTCATCAGAGGGAGCAGCTGACTCCGACTCTGGCCTCCCTTCACTGGCTCATTTGAGAGCGCTTTGGAAGATCCCATCATTTGTTTTCAAATCTTGAAGTGGCCTGGCCCCACCTGACCTCTCTTTCCCTTGATCCCTTTGACTCGTTTTCATCTGTGAAAGGGTCAGATTTGTTTTTTAATGTTCCCGACTCTTCATATCATGTCAGTCAATGAAATGGACCGTGAACTATGCATCTCAACTTTAAACCACATGTTCTATATGATGTATGCGTGTGTCTGTATGAATGTGTTTCCAGCTTTCTGCCATGGAGTTGATTTCCCCTCTGTCGAAGTGAGACTTGACGGAGGCTTTTTGCTGCTCGCACCCCACCACAGCTCAGGAGGCTCTCATTACACTGACTGCGGCGTTGTGTGGTTTTTAAATAGTTCACTTGTCAACCCCCCCCTTGCGCAAATCCATCTATTTTGGGCATGGTGTGCAGGGGGAAGGAACAGACAAGTCGACGGTCCCTCGATCAGTGCCTGGGCTTGCTCGAAATGCCTCCCTTACTGCAATCGGCGTGATGGTGGCGGTGGAACCACGTGGCCTTATTCGGCGCATGTTGGAAATGATCGGGTATCTCGGAAAATGGAGGCCAACAATTTGGGGCACAGATGGCAAAAACGCGAGGCATCACTCTTCATCACAGTATACGAAACCTTTTGAAATGAGCTGTGAATGCTTGTTGACAACACACAGCCGCATCAAAAGTGGATAAGAGGGTCCCAGACACCCAACCAAGGATGTGCCCGGCTGATGTCATGGCCCTCTGCGTTGTGGGAGACTTGAAGCCAGTCTCTCCGGAACATCTCCCATTGTACCCACCCATCCATGTTCTTCTCTTCACAAGGGTCCCAATGTACCTCGTATTGCTGTGGAAGTGACTCGGGGGCCTGGGATCCAAAATAGCTGGCGCTAAATGACCTGGCCTCTGCAGTTAGCTCGGGTGGAGGTCAATTGGCAGATGCCCGGCAAGGTGGCACCTGGAAATAGGTGGTTTGCTCTCTTTTAGGCATGAGCGCAGTCGACCTCACTCGCCTCACTCGGTTTGTGGCCACGCATGACTTTCACAGTGAAGGACTCTCACTCACCTAAAAGACTTTCTGCCACCAAATGGACACGGGTCAAAGAACACACCCTCGCGACATCGGAATGCCCTTGGTGGTCCATCGTAACAGTGACGTGCTAACGGTGGTTTGTGGCCACGCATGACTTTCACAGTGAAGGACGACGCGGTCCATCACGGCTGTGGAACTGCGCTCGTCGAGGGCCGCTACCCTGCCGCATTTTTGAAGATGTTTCCCTCCAGCGACACACCCGAGTCAAATCATCCGGCTCGTTATCCGTCACCTGAGGGAAACCTCTCAAATATGTGCGATCGTGGCGGACCGCAATTCGACACCGGTGCAGGAGATACAAGGCTTTGGTATTGAAAAATCTCGATTTGATGAGACGTGTGAAAAGCGGTGATCTTCACCTGTTCCTTAGAAGCTTCCCTTGAATCAGTCCCTTTACCCTCGGTGACTTCTGAGCGCAAGCCTGCCTGCCAACATTTGCCCCTGTCAGTCAGTCTTAAGCACCCCCCACCCCCCGCCAAGCCTGTCTTATCATCTTACCCCATGGGTTGGTCTCACACTTTTTCACTCTACTTCTGCCAGTGTCCGACCGGTGGCCGAGAGCTCTCGTAAAAGTGAGCGCTGAGAACTGGGTTCCAAATCGAGGACTTTTTGGTGACTGTTGCCTGGAAACTGGGAAGACGTACCTGGAACTCAGCTTGGAATATTTTCCATTCACAGGAGCCGGGCTGTCATTGCTTCACTGTGTAGTGGGCCCCCAGAGTGGCTTTGACTTTGTCGTGCGCGTGCCTGTTTGTGGGCCCCAACAACAGTTGCGGACTCGTGTTGTGAATCCGGGTTTATCCCTTCTTCGCCGGCTCAGTTCTTTCTACGGACATGGCGTCTTTAAGAAGTCTGATTCTTGCGCTGCTGATGGCGCTGCTCTGCTCCTTCCACGCCCCGTCGGCTCCTGCGGCCAAAGCGCAAGATCTGCCGTTCCGCTCTGAGCAAGGCCTGGTGGCCGACGACGATGATGATGATGATGATGATGATGATGATGGAGATGATGATGATGACGACGACGACGATGATGATGACGATGATGATGATGATGACGACGACGATGACGATGATGACGACGACGATGATGACGATGATGATGATGATGATGATGATGATGACGACGACGATGATGATAATGATGATGACGACGATGACGACGATGATGATGATGATGATGATGACGACGACGACGAAGACGATGATGATGACGACGACGATCATGAAGGTCAGTTCATGTGAATGTGCACGGAAGAGCTTCGATGTCAAAGCGCTGCCTTCCACCCGGAGTTATTTTCACGCTACGATAACTCCGCGAGGAGACAGCGAAAAGGCGGCATGACTTCATTGTGACACTGGCTTCATGGGTTTGTGTCGTCAAGATTTGTTGTCTTGAGTTGCCTCTTTGTGTTAACACGTACCCAGCCTGCTTGTGCTGCCGCTGAAAAAAACCAAAAAAAACCCCAAAACCAAACGCATCAGCCGTCACTGACCTTGAACGACAGCATGCGGCGTGTTCCAAGTCGATCCGTGGTGGAAAGCAAAGCCCCCATTTTGTTTCCTCTGACTGTCAAATCCATCTGTGACGTAGCAAGGATCTTGTCGCTGTCATGTCAACCCGATCATCTCTGTGTCACTGCTCATGTTTTCCAAGTCGCTCTTCCGCCACTTTGGAGCTCACCGATGTCCCTTTCTGTCTCTTCCACTGTTTTTCTTTTCCCGACTGAACTTATAGAGTTATGAGCACTTTGGGGGAATTGAAGTGGCCCACCTGAAGCCCATCGGTCCGAAGTTCTTCGTACACGCCACACTAGCTAGGAACTTGGAGACTGCAGAAGTAATTTCTTGAGAGAGAGGGCGAGAGAGCGAGAGAGAGGGGGAGAGAGAGCTTGACAGCACAAAAAGACCATTTTACGCCCCAGCCTGTTTTGGACAACAGGCCCGTACGGGCTTTGTCTTCGAGTCTTTTAATTTGGTTTCAGTATTGGAAAGAATGCTTCCTCCTCTGGGAACATCCTTTCTGATTTTTATTTGTATTCTTTTAATTAATTTATTTTTTTTCAATTGGATTGACCTGCATTTGTGTCTTGTTCATGTGAGTCTACAGAGAAAGAGAGACTGATCGGAGTTCGAAATAGACCGAGGGAGACTTAAGCTTGAGGGGAGGTGCAGGGCAGCCACTTTGGAAATGACGAGAATTTTCAATGAGAGTCATTACAAAATGACAGGCTTTACACCGAATCGTATCAACGTCGAAAAGATTTTCTGGCACGCCAATCGTAGCTTTCCAACAATCGATCGAACGTTTCTCTCTTTCTTCAGATCTCTGTATCTCTCGCTTTCTCTGTAGAACATCTGTTCAACAAAGAGCCCTTTTTTTTTCCAAGCGCTGAAATAACAGCCAATTGTAATGCAAACATGGAACCTTTTATGGGGGGGGGCTTGCAATAATTAAACCATTTTCAATGCAGTACCTTTGTGACCTCAAAATGCTTGTTTGGCACTGTAATAACTTTAAAGTGATTTTAAGGGCATGTTTTTTTGTCGTTCATTATGATTGATGAAAGGAATTGCTGCCTGGCCTTCGGGGAGAGAGTATTTGGGAAAAGAGAGAAATATCGAACAACTCTGTTAAATGTCAACTTGTCAAGAGATGATTTTTTTTTTTTTTTGTGGTTCTTTTCCTCTTCTTGTTCTTTCTTAACGAAACACTTTGGTGTCGACTGTGAACATGTGTGGTCGAAATAGCCATCGCCGCTGTCCATATGTCTTTAAGGCGACTTGAAATCAATCAATAAATCAAGTGCACACAAATGCAAACCGTGACTAAGCGCAGCATTTTTATAGCACTCGGTGCATGCACCGCGGCCTGTCATCGTGCGGTTCGTCTGACTTGTGGCTTTGTCACACGTCATTTGTCTTAACAGCCGTGAAGGCGCGACTCACGTTTTAATTGTGACGTCATAAATTCTTTCATACGCGATTTACAAGGCGCTAGATCCGATTACAATCAAGGGAATCGCCGAGGAAATTCAAGGTGAGTTGTGCCCGTTGGACAAAATACTCGCTGCAAGTGGAAAACTACGGAGCCTCAGAGGTAAAAATTACTGCGGGGGGAGAACGGACTTTCGGCGCATCAACGACTATTTTGTGCGCACAGACTACTTATTTGTTAACACTAATTAACACCGATTACTACTTTGTGCGCACGAATGATTACAGCGTGCGCATGAAGAAGCGCTGAACCTGGAAAAGAGATTCACAAATCGAGCGCACCTTCACAAACTCGCTTCTCACTGACCTCATCGGTGCCTTCAAAACTCCACAAATGCTCGCATCTGACGTGTTTTGTTTGTTTTTCACTTGATACCAACATTAAGTCGTGAAAGGTTTTCATTTGGTATGCGTCCACCGGTACCCGCGGTCCCTCCCAGAACGTCGCGGTTGCCGAACAATAAATTGGAGCGCACCTCCGCCAGGGAAAGCGAGCTGGCTCTCAAAACAGCCTCTTCCAAATGTCTCTCGCTGAAAATGATTCCGTACCATGCCAGGCTTTTCATCACGTGCGTGTAACCCACTGGTGTCAAAGTCAAGGCCCGGGGGGCAGATCTGGCCCACCACATCATTTCATGTGGCCCGCGAAAGCAGCTCAAACATGTCAACTTCCATGATCCTTTCTAAAATGTCTGCCAAAATGTCAAATTCTCATATGTAATACATAAGAGATCTATTCTAAGGATTTTCTTGTTACCAAATCCCAGCGTCAGCACGAGGAAAGCCGCCGGCGTTTGAGTTGATCACCAGAAGATTGTGTGCTGTATGCTGACCATACTTGCAGACGACGACCGCGATGATGACGGCGATGTTGACGACGACGATGATGACGGCGATGGTGATGATGATGACGACGATGATGACGGCGATGGTGATGATGATGACGACGATGATGACAACGATGGTGATGATGATGACAACGATGATGATGACGATGATGATGATGACGACAAAGATGGCGATCATGATGATGACGATGATGATGACAACAACAAAGATGGCGATCATGATGCTGACGACGATGACGATGACGACGGCAAATACCACAGGGGCTCCGTCTGCGCATACTGCGAAATCTGTGAGGTAAGTCCACCTCTGACAAATACGCAAATAAACAAGCCATGTGGCACCAATTTTAAAATAAGAGTTGACCACAAATGAAAACGACAAATCCTTACCACCCCAAATCGCATTTATCCACTTGAAGACTCAAGAGTAGGGATGGGCAACTGGCAACCTGCCAGACTTTGAGCGGCCCCTTGATTCATTTTCAAAAATAATCATCACAAATTTTTTTTTCTGACACACCCAAAATTGTGGGGGAAAAAAAGGTGACAAATCCAAACTATTCACCAATATTGAAAGAAAAGTAAAAGAAAACATCTGCGAATATATAAATCCATGGGTGCTGAACAGCGAATAGGCAGGGGTCGACTGTAGCTCGAAGTTGTAATATCACCAATCACCACTAGATGTCAGAAATGTTTTAGTAGGATTTCCACTCGGTCTTCTACTGTCCCCACACTACAACGTGATTTAGCGGACTTGGAAGCATATGCAGGACAACAATAGTACTTCCACAGTGTTCAAAAATTTTGAATGAGTTGATTTTTTTTTGGGTGAACATTTTTTTTTCAAAATGAGGTCCTGCACTTAATGTTGATTTCTCTCGTTCAGTAGTTTTGCGCCACACTTGAATGGTCATTTGTATGCAAGACGGCCCTTTGCAACGGAAAGAAATGTGCTTGCTTCAAACCCCTCGGCGTTGGGTTGGGATAGCGGACCTTTTATACACGCGTTGAAAAACTAAAATGAGTTTCGAGCATGCGTTTTGCCTGTCTGCCTGGATTTTGTCCATGTGTAAAATAGCATTTCTCTCGTCCATCCGGTTCGCAGCGCGCGGTCCGATGAGCACCGATGAAAAATCGTGAGCCCCTCCGGTTGCCGATCCCTGCCCTCTCGGTTCTGTTATCCGAGCGATGTGACTCTTTGGCGCACGTTGTCTCCTTTCAGCACTGCGACAGCTGCGATAAATGTCCTTGTGAAGAAGGAGACAAGTCGGAACACTGCGATGACTGCAAGGTGAGGCAATTCCGGTAGCTTCGCCATCAGCATGTTCTCAACCTTGCTGTTATTTATTGCACCGTAAATGTCAAAGCTTTGAAAAAAAGCACAATTATCTCAAAAGGGTGGAAATAACCCAATGACAGCTTAACAATAACTTATTCACTGTCCTCACATCATCTACGCCAGCATTTTCCTACACTGAAAAAAAAAAAAGTCCATCCGATCTGCTTTAGAAAAAAAAAGAGACAAAAAAAAAGTCACTAATACGTGTTTGACGCAAACTAGATGTGTGAGATTCGATCTCATTTGTCTCCATCAGTTTGGGGGCGGACATCTTCGGTGGCAGCGCAGCGCATTGCGACTTCACTGATGATTTGGTTCATTCTTTTCACAGATGTGCCGTTTCTGCCACGTGTGTCCCGCATGTCGAACTGTTTGCCAACCCGGTGAGTGACTATAAAACTGGCCCAGCTCACTTTTTTGAAAAGAAAAAAAAAAAAAAAGTCGAGTTGAATGATGACTTGATCTCGCGTCACAGCGAACCGCCGAGGCCTCCCGTTGAGTCTCTTCCTGTTGGTCATTGTTTTGTTTCCGTTCCTCGTAACTGGGAAAGTAAATTCCTCGTGTGTTTTTTTACATACTTGGCCAATAAAAATTGGATTCTAACTGTGATCAAAGAGGAAGATGTTTTCATGGAGCAAGTGACGTGATGTTCACAGTAACACGAAGAATTCTGTTTCCTGCAGGGGGCTTCCTTGACAAAGTGACCGGGTCAATCTACAAGTAAGTCGTTGCAGTCTTTTCGTATCAACGTGCGATGAAGTCATTTCCAAATCGCATTGATCGTTGCGTGGAATCTTTTTGCGCTTCAATCCACAGGACCGTCGCCGATGTCTTTGAAGAGGATGACGACAACAACTGACACCTGCCCTCATGTGGCTAATCCAAGTGTCATCTTCACTTCGAAATGCTTTATTATTATTATTTTTTTTTTGGATCACTTACTTGGGAACCTCACTGGTGCCTTAACAGAAATTGTGAAAATAACATCTTAAATGTATTTATGCTATTTGTTAAATGATAAAACAAAGCCCCGCTGTTGAGAAACAGCAAATAGCTTATCCCACTGGAATGCTGCAGTTGTTTGTTTCATGTCTAATAAAATCATTTTTTCTTCATATGCGTGTATTTGTAATTGACACGTTTAAACCGTGTTACATGTTCATGTCTTGACATCTCTAAATGTTTATACTATATTCTACATCGTAGTTGGCGGCCATTTTATCAGAAATGGTTACAACAAACTATACGTACAAATTCGCGACGTCGCTCAAGGTACATTGTAATGAGGTTCGACTGCTTGTGTTCCATTTATTAACTTGGAGCACTCAAATATCTGGTGATGTGTTGAACAGTGAAAAATGAAAGGCCCCTTCTGAAATTCAACTTTTTGAAACAGGCTTAAAATCAGTCAAGAAAGCAATTCTACATCGTTTGTACTGTCTCGTTAATTTCGTCAACTTTTTGTTCAAGGTGTCAAGGCAAACAACTGATGCTTTTTCCAAGTTTGGGGCTCATTTTTCGCCCTTTTTTAACTAACGTTGCGGCCCGTGGCGAATGTCATTTTTTTTGTTGATTTTCTGTTTTTGTCATGTCGTGGGCCGCTGAAAAATGGAGGACGGGCCGCAAATGATATTTTGTTCGATTTCAAGGGAAAGTTTCATTGACATGGACTGTATTGTGAGTGACAAGTCAACGCTCACGTGACCACAACCGTACAAAGATGCAACCACCAGGGGGCACCGGAGGACAGTTTTCAACATGGCATGCTGTGCAAAGTAGAGGCGTCGTGTGTGTGTGCGCGTGTGTGAGTGACAGACGGGTCTCGTTTCTTGGTTTTGTCACTTCAGGGTGTCTTGAACAAAACCTGTTTGGCGAGCGGGAGTCCCAAACCACGTGGCTTGTCCTCCTCAAAACAGCGCCGCCAGGATTGAAGCACTCATCAAAAGGTACAGTGGCACAGTCTGCGCGAGGCTCATCGCGTGAGAAGCTTGAGGAAGTGGCTGCTGAGAACGCCGCCACCGCAGCCCTGCGGCAACGCTGACACTCGAGCCTGCGGCGTGGGCCCCCTTCGCCCGTCGTTGACTTCCACTGAACTTTGGTCACGCGGGGCTGGTGCTTCTCAACCTGTTTTTCAGCGACATCCCACCCGTGAAATATTTTTTTTTCAACCAAGTAGCCTACCCCCCCTAACCAGACAGAATGTTGTGCTGTTATTGTCTGATTGACTTATCAACTTTGTAGTCGTTTCTCTTGAACGAAATCCTGTAAAAAGATAGAACCAACAAAAGATAAAATATTTGAGTTGATCACACAGAAAAATGTGTGCACATAAAATGATCAACACAAATGTCTTCCCCTGGAATCAGAGGAAAGAAATCATTCACAAATTTCAAATCAAGTTTTCAAGTGATTGACAGCTGACGCCACCAAATTGAATCGCCTACAGAATAGAAAATCAGTTCATTTCCTGAAAAGTTGACACAATTCAACGGTTACTTGTAAAGGTTTTTGAGTGGATGCTTTTTGAATATATATATATATTTTTTAAACCTCACGTAGACCCTGGAGTGCCTTCACCTTCCGCCAGGGCTAAACGTCGCTTTCTGACAAAGATTTGGTCCAGATGGGCGATAGCCTCCTCCCGCAAAGGTCGCGCTGGGTCATGCTCGAGCGGTGGAACTGCAAAACAAGAACAAGTTCAAGTGTCAGGATGGCGGCACCGGTGTGTGTGTGAATTGTGTCTGGGGTCCAGTGAGTGAAGCGTGACGGCAGAGAGCGGTTGGTGAAACACACATTTTGAAAGTCTCGCAAGGTGTGTAAAATCTCCATGGCGAATGTAATTAACACAGCGACGTCGGGATTATTCAAAGATACAAAATCCAGTTATCTGTTCATAAGCAGCATTGAGACTGTGTTCCACAACACACACACTGTGCCCAGCAACTGACTGTAATCCCGATTGACAGCTCGCCTTCACGCTTGAACACACCCCGACTTTCAAAATGGATGCAGAAGGAGCGTTTTACGCGCACACACGTCCGCACACCCCAACTAAATGGAGTCTCGGTCGAGTGCGGCTGAGAGGAGCAAATGTGAACCAGGGAACTATTAGGAGGTGGGTGTGGAGTAGCATGTGGAGGAGTCACACAGATGGACCAACAGACGCCCAAGCAGAGCCATTTGGACACAACTAGCGATGGGAGCAACGAGACTGGTGCTCCGAATGCGCAAAAGTGTCAACGCCGGCCCGTATTGGTGTGTGCAGCGCTTTAACAAAACAAAACAAAATCAAAAAATCATGCGAGCAACACAGGAAGTGTATCGTTTGGATGTGCCTCGCCAAATTGTGTTTAGAAGGAAACAAACCATATGGAGACGTGTTGCGGGTTGGTTGGATGGGGATGATGGACGTGTACCTGTGGCTGTGTCATAGTTTTGCCTTGCTTCTACAATGCATCGTTCCAGAAAATGTTCACAAGTCTAGAAATATTTTGATCTTCTGATGCTAAATCAGGTCAACATTTTCCTCCTTTGGGCCCTGCTAGTTTGTCATCAAATGATTCGACTCTTTTCTCTTAAGAGGTTTGACTTTTTTTTTCCAGACAAATTAGATGGAGATGACGGTCCCTGTCCCTGTGCCATTGTCGCACGTACTGTTGTTGTTTTCGCTCGGAGTACGACAAGGACAAAATAAGATGCCGCAGAGCGTGCGCGATAAGACACAGGCAGAAAAATGATTGGGAGCCCAGTTGGGTTGTGATCAGCCACGTTGAGGTGTGAAGTCGTGTTCGGGGGGGTGGGGGGGGGGATGGAGGCAACGCGGCGCCCTCTTTGCAAAGATTGAGTGTCGTTTAAAGCGAGTGGAGAAATGATGTAGACTGTAGAGGTGACACATAGCTCCTAAGGATGCTCTCGCCGCCGAATGCCAAGTATGGCATTAACGCGCGCCGAATACTAACGGCCGGTGGCGGCGAAGAGCCGAGCCGGCTAATGACCGGATGTCACCGTAATGGCGTGTCTCCATCTCGTTGCTGTGCCTCAGCGGGACACTTAACTCTTCGTCGCTGCGGCTCTTCTTCCTTCTGCCACCGTGCGACCTTTCTGCCGAGGCTGCGGGGGCAAAAGCCATTTCGCTAATCGTATTCTTCTTTACGGCTTTTGATGTAACCTTGAAGCTATATGCGATATAGTGACAGATTGTGACGTTTTTTGAAATCCCCCCCCCCAATGGCACCGCAATAGAGATGGCTCCTGTGGATACGACTGCACACATTCAGACAGAATGGACCCCTGTTCTTCTGAGATCTTTTCTCGGTCCACAACACGAGTGCGAAAGCAGGAAACTATCTGTCATCGACGCGGCCGTTTCACGGTGATCATCAGCGGCGGCCATTAGCCCAAAGACATTAGCCGCAGCCATCATCCAAGCTATTAACTTCTCTTTCGGCTAAAAGGCTAGCGTCGCTCACAGAGACTCATTAAGGTGAGGTATGGCGAGATGCAGCGACGGCCGGGAAATGAAGAAAGAGGGAGGGGACCAGAGATGGCTGCGAGAAATGCAGAAAGACCCAAAGAGAAGACGCGCTCAAGACTGCAAAGGAGGCCTTCCATCATTCTAATTGTTGGTGGTGTCATTTGCCAAGTTGGAAGTGCGAGCGATAAGCTGCTCTCTCTGGGAAGCAGCGCTTTATGTTCATGAGATGACGGAGCTAGAAATCGTGTCCGCACGAATGGAACGGGATCCCTGCGACGTCTGACAGCTTGCTGAGCTTATCCACATGGTCGTGTTTCAGTCAAGTCGATGTAGACGCAGACCAGGAGTGTGCAAACGCATCCAGAAAAAAATGGTCTTTTGTGAAACACGCTAACGTCAGTCAAGAAAGCGCTTTATAGATATCGTTTGGATTGTCGAGTTCATTTCATCGGTTTTCAGTCAGAGGTGGGAAGCCAAATTTTGGGGGGGGGGGGCAACAACCCTCTATCTCACGGAATAGATCAGGCTCTACACTGAACAGCAACCGAATCTCATCTTCACGTTCAGAACACCCTGATGCCCCCCCCCCCCAAAAAAAGAAACAACTGTGGGTAGGCAATGTCTTCATAAATCAGCCAATAAGCACAAAGTGGTAGAAAATATTTTTGTGTCTACGATTGAAGCCGAATTCGGCTTCTAAAATCTGCGTCGCATGTTATGCAAAAGTATGAAATGATTCGTGCAACGATCCGTGAAGCTCTGTTCATACATTGAGGAATTTCTCTTCTTTTCACTGATTCCCAAGTGAGCCACAGCATGGCACACGCACGCCACCTCCCAGAAAAAGCCCCCACACAGAGCTGGATGTCAACAGGATTATTTGGGAGCCTGCGTCGGGTGTTCGCTATGTAGGCCAGGGGAAAAAAAAAAAAAAAATGCAGCAAGCGAGGCATGTGCCTGTATTGTTAATAATTCAGCGTCTTTTTTTTCTGCCTCCATCTTGCATGGATGACACAGACTTGAACAGAAAGAGGGGGAAAAAAACCCAACATTGCCCCAAATTTCTCCATTGTGGGACACATAAAGGTGATCTTATCTTATCTTATCTTATCGTATCTTATGTATGTTTTTCTCATCTCGGATAACCTCTCACTTGTATGTGGCAAATTGATGGCCACGAAACGAGTATTTTCCGTGAGGAATAAAAGGCCGACAATTTTTGCAGTCATGTTTGAGGAACAAGGTGAAAAGAGGAAGTGTCGATGATATTTTGGAGAAGGATGCTCATTCTTATTGACTGCCACGCAGACACGTGGGGAGCACTTGCACAACCTCACACGTGTCGTAGTGATGCGCGCGCCGCGTGTTCCGTCACTTCTCTTTCCAAATGTGTTTTCTTTCTAAAATGTCTGCCAAAATGTCAAATTCTCATATGTAATACATAAGAGATCTATTCTAAGGATTTTCTTGTTACCAAATCCCAGCGTCAGCACGAGGAAAGCCGCCGGCGTTTGAGTTGATCACCAGAAGATTGTGTGCTGTATGCTGACCATACTTGCAGACGACGACCGCGAGCAGGCGTCAGAAAAGGGAAGAAGAGGAAGTATACGACCTGCAGAGGCTCATGGGAATTTTCAGTTTAGATTTCTTCACTGAAAGCAAAGATATAATCCGGACACTTCATTCTTCACTCTGAATAACTGAAAATCTGAACAATAAATGCATCCTCTTCATGTGATAAGCCACAGATAAGACAGCCAAATGAGCCAATTGACCTATTCTTAACATTTGAGACAAGGCCTCGTATAATGAATAACTATAGATAATAATCATTAGGATTAGAATAAAGAAAGGACAAACGGACTGTAGATCCTCCTGTATAGCAAAAATTGGCTGCTGTTTTACCAATTGACAGTATGTACATATACATAGGTAGGAGACAAGTGGGAGGAGGGGCATCGGGAAGGAGGTGGGGATAAAGAAAGGGCGCCGAAGCCGCGTATCTTAAAACAATGGGCTAGCTGTCAAATATTGGGATTCCCCAACATTTCCCAGTTTGGTGAGGCCCCGAGGTCTGCATTGACAAAAGCGCCGCACACAACATCGCTTGTTATGTACAGCAACCATGAGACGTTCACGCTTTCGTCCGTGTCTACAGGGTTTATTCTAACTATAGCCATCAGCGGAATGATGTGACGAATCTGGAAAATAATCTGTGCGTTCACTTTTTATGCCAGATCGAGGGTCGATGTTAAAACCCCCGTTGATCCTAGCGGCGGACAATTTTTGGAGCAAGCTATGCGGGGTTGTTTGAACTTCAACAATAGGCCAAAGTGGTCACACACGCGCGCGCGTGCGCAACAAAAACTGTGCCATGTTTTTATCCACATTATTGCCAGCGCACATCACTTCCACTGCAATAAATGGGGTCACAGACTGCTTGCCGAGAGCTTTGTCTTTTGGCCCGCAGACCCAAATTCTCTGCCCTCGTTTTTGTACACCATCGCCTCTGTTTGCTTGGAAATATTCATGTCAAATGCAAAAGACACTTTGGATGTAAAAAATACATAAGAATAGATTAAAAATAGGGACCCGTACGTTTTTTTTTTTTTTAATCTCTATGTTTTCATGTATCTCTCTGTAATTCAAATGTCATGCATCTGGTTCCATTCTGACTCATTGGAGTCGAGTGCAGTTGCTTATTCCAACCGCTGGATGGCGAATGTCGCATGAGCGCGAGAGAGAGAGAGAGAGAGAGAGAGAGAGAGAGAGAGAGAGAGAGAGGAGGCCCACCTCAAAGGAAGAACCAAGAAATCTATGCCAGGTTCGAAACGAATATTTTAAAAGTGCAATCTAAACCGTAAGTGTCCTAAGAGGTCCGAAATTCTCTTGTCAGGAGTGCGATTCTGCAAATGTATTTGTGTGACTTTTGAGAATGCCTCCCCTCGCCTCTTGACGGGTACTCGTATAAAGAGGGAGCGCATCACTCCTACTCTGGCATCCCCTTCACTGGCTCCCTTTTTTTTTTTCAAGAGTTCTTTTGAAGATCACCAGGATTTGTTTTCCAATCTTGAAACGGCCCGGCCTCACCTGACCTCTCCGGTGCCAAAGGTCTCCATGGGACCAGGCACTATTCGAGGTAGCGAGAACCAAGCGGAGGCTCTGAGGGGACGGAGCCTTTTCCGTTGCCGCTCCCTCTCTTTGGGATGAACGTTGGGCGAGCCTCCCCCTCGCTGCCCATCTTTAAAGCTCATCATTTGAATTCTTTGCCTTTGGACTGGACTCAGCCTGAGACTTGCTTTTCGGTTGGACTGTTTTGGTGCTTTCTACTCCCTTTGTGATTCGTTTCTTGTTTGAATCCGTTTTTTTGTGCTTCATGTACAGCACTTTGTCGAGAGGCGGCGGTTGTCTGAAAGCGGCGGAGAAATCCACTTGAGTTGAATCTGTTTGTAACTTGGTTTCAGGAGTATGCGGATGACATATGGACATGTTGCCATTTCTGGACGACACGTGACATACACGTGGAATCATTTCCGGATGAAGTCGTTCATCTCTGTCTGCAGCAGAAATCTACGCCGACCGGACCTTTCTCGATGATGGAAATGATTTCAAGTGCCTTGCGTATGGGGTCACTGTCAATACGCGTCGCTCTCTCGGCATGGCGTGAGACCGCCGATGTTGGAGTCAACCATGGAAGATTTTCGACATGTCAATGAGCGTGAATGTTGTCCATTTTTCTTTTCACCTTCGACGCGCACACAGTTTGCCTTCTCCCTGCCTTTCTTTTCCCATCAATTGGCATTTGTACATCCGTGCGCACCCCCGCTGATGGATCCTGTCCCCGTTGCCCGGTCCTCGTCTCCGTGCCGTCCTCTTTGAAAAGTTTAACCTCGTTGCAGCACAGCTGTGTGATGAATAATAGAGGACTGACAGTTTCCCTCAGCATCTCCGTCAGCTGGAAAACGCCTTTATCTTCTTCTCTCACATTCCCTCAAGCCTCAGCTTCATGTCGTTGGGTTGCGTTCCGTTCCTTCTTTCAGCTGACCCGAACTGAAGTGCATTCTGAACCTCGAGACTTACACGGGTCAAACTTGCTCACGTCGTACGTGGCGCCGCGCCGATGACCTTCGAAGCATCACAAATGCTCGGTCGTTCGATTGGTCACCAATGGACGTGATCAGGCGCCTGTGTCGAACGCGAGGCCCGCGGGCCAAAGAGCGCCCTCCACCTCATTTGATGCGACTCCCCAAAGCGTGCTCCAGCACCGCCAAACCAAACGGGATTTTCGGTCCTACCAATAATAACTGGCCATATAGCTAGCTAGCTAGCTAGCTAGCGATAGAAAGACAAAAAACAGTTGGAATGACTGCTTGCTGTGTCTGCACGCTTTCAATCGTGTCAACTGATCACATTTTCTGGTTTGTCTGTCCGCACCGCCGCGGCTTTCTGCCCTCATACACTTCTTCATCTTTACGCTGATTGTTTCCAGTCCTTTTGCTTGTTTTCCAGCCCACACTTTCCCTCGTGGGTTGCCATAGATTTCATGTCCACATTGATGAACGGGCATCGATGAATGTGATGTGTTTCCCCTTTCACTGTTCATATTTGAACCAGCGGCTAATCAATAAAGGGAGGCCTTGAAGCAAGAGCATTGATTTTTTTTTTTCATTTGAAAAAGATTTGAGGCCGTATATGGCTTTGTGCGCATGCGCGTTTGTGTGCGCGTGTGTGTGCGTGTGCGCCTTTTTTTTTTTTTTTTTACATTGTGAAGTCAAAAAGGGAGAACAACTCGACAAGTAACAAGAAGAAACGAAAGACATGTTTTCAAATGTAGGGAGTGAAAGTAAAACGTCATCAGAAAAGATATTCACAACACAGACACTCCAAATACTACTGGAGCATAGTTCACTTCGAAATATTTGTTGTGTTACTTTCCACCACTGCTAATGTGTTACGAAGCTAAATTTAGTTGTTGACAGTGGCGGATGGGTGGCGCTCGTGTTCAGCTGGTGGGGCGGGCGGAGGGGGGGCAGAGAGAGAGAGAAGCGAGAGAGGGAGAGAGGGGGCGAGGCCAACGAGTACAGGCCGGAGGTTACCACAGGACACCGCCGGAACGCAACACAAAAAGACATCAACGAGACGAAGCGTGCCGGCTTGCGTTGCGCTCTTCGGGCTGGCCGCCATTGCACCGCCGGACCAAAAGTGTCTGTCCCCATTTGACGCGTCGCGGCAGTTTGAAAGTGCGACGGCCCGCGGGGCGTGGGGGGCTTTTCTGCCTCGGCCGCCGCGTGGACTCGTTGAACCGGAGCGAGACGAGCGGCGCGCGCCGCCGACCGGACTGGACCTCTTGACTTCGAAGCGGTCCGTGAGCCACTTGGAGCTCCCGCGGGCGGCCTTGGATTGAACCGACCGCACGCCGCTCGCTGGCTTGCCCGGCTCGCCGCATTTGGAAGCCCGAAGAGCGCTCCGGCTTAGAGGAATCGACGGACGTTTTTCTTTCGGTCTTTCTTTGATTTGTTTTTTGGAAAGATTTTCAAATCGGAACCAGGTACGTTCGGACTCCTTCTAAAGTCAACACACACCACGTGTGTGTCGGTCGACGTGTAACGCCATCCCGATCGTGATTTTATTGTGGTGACGTCCTTGAATTTCCACGCACTTGTCGCACAGTGAATGTAAGAACAACTAGAAAGAGTGAGAAGAAGGTATAAATGGGTGCCGCGATATTGTGGGGGAGTGTGACAAAAACCGCGCTTCGTGGAGGGTTGAAAGGTCAAAAGGACGGGTCATTTCACTCTGTCCCTTCCCCCTCTTCTTCGCCCATCAGTGCACTATGAAGATGTGACCTGCCGTCTCCCTCCCTCGTCGGCTTTCATTCTGGGTGTTTCTTCCTGCTGAAATACCGAGAAAGCAAAACGGCGGCGGCGGCGGCGGCATTCGCGGGGATGTACGAAAGCGTGGACGTTGTGGGTTTGAGCCCCAGCCCCCGCAGCCCCAGCAGCGGCTCTTTCCTGGGCATGGACTACTACCACAGACCACCGGGCTTGGAGCCCGAGCAAGGACTCCTGTCCGGCGTCGGGGGGCTTCAGAGGCCGTTCGGCGGATCCCTGGTGAGCGGCAGGCACTGGAGCGGATCTTGCCACTGTGAGTCAGTCGCCTTGATGCTTTTTTAAAAAAATGTTTTCAAAACGTCCATAATTACAGGGAGACGTCACTTTGTTCTCCTGAATGGATATTTGAGACAGTTGAGTCTGAAAACGTGTTTGAAAGCGTGGTCTTTTTTTTTTTTTCTTCAAAATTTATGATGAAGGTGACGAACTCCTTTCATCGAGTGCCCTTTCCAGACTCGAGCTCTCCTGTCCAGAAATAAGCGATGTGTATTTCACGTTCAAGCAGATGGAAAATACTTTGTGTACCCTTGAAAACTAGCATTGACAAAAATTTCATGATGAAAGCATATTTTTGTTGACGTCGCCAAACCACCTGAGCCAAGCGCCATCTTGCGCGGTCAATGAATTGTACTTTTAGTTGCCCAGCGCCTTTTTACTTGGTCACTTGCTCAATCACTTTTATCTTTATTGCTCTTCTCAACGTTCTAAAAGGGACGTCATGTGCCAACGAAGATTGTAGGCTGGCTGTCTTTCACTCAAGTGGCCTTTTTAGTTGATCAACAACCGCCTGCCCTCAGTTAGCGCCACATCAAGCAACAGCCTGAGCGCGACTTGGAGTGCTTTTCCTGCAAAGGAACTGTCGTTACACAATTACTGTTCGACACACTTATGTTGAGTTTTCAGATCTGGTTCATTGTGTCGTCGTTATGACCTCTGGGATGACAGCAGCTGGAAATGCAGGTTTTGACCTGAAGCTCCAGATGACGTTCCTTTAAACGAAAGATCAATAGTTGTCATTTTATGTCGGAGGTTTTCCTATTTGTACGGATTTCATCCTCCTAATGTTGCACCCCACCGCGTCTGCGCCCGTTCGATGCTGCGTTGCAAGCCACTTTCCGCCTCTCAGAATCGGACCCGTTCCAAAACGTAAAACACAGAAGAGAGAAAGACTTTTAGGTATGCTAGACATTCCAAGTGATTCCCGAATTCTTTTGTAAAAGCCTGCCCGTTTTTTGAAAAGCTGACATTTACCGGGGCAATGTAATCCCATGTTATGCTGCTTATTGTCTACAGCAGTGGTTCTTAATAAGAACTTTGTGATAGGTACCGAACCCAACCAGTTCATATGCACATTCATCGAACCCTTCATTAGTGAATTTTTTTTTAATTTTGTTTTTTTGGGTGGGGGTGGGGGACAAATTCCGACATAAAAAATGCATTTATGAAAAACTGAAAAAAAGTAAACACAATTAGTATCAAAATTATGTGTTTTTTTTAATTGTGGACAAACTGAACCAGCCAGTGATGGCCAAGCGGGCGTGTCATAACTAATTGACACGTTGCGTCGGGTTTGTCTTAACCTCCATGGCGGAGGCTCTGTCGAACCCCTGAGCCCGATTCATTGAACCCCTGGGGTTCGATCGAACCCCAGCCTAAGAACCACTGATCTAGAGTGATGTTTTGACCGAGATCTCATGTTGTTTTTTTTTTTTTTTTTTTAACGTAGGACCAGAGTAGGCATATTGGGGTGGTCGATGGGTGGGGAGGTTTGCCTCCCGAGTGTCTGTCTGTGTGTCTTTGTGACTGGAATGATGAGCATCAAGCCGGTTCAAAGGTCAAAAGGCCAAATGGACACAGGCGCACATTCGTATGCGACAACCGCTCTTGTGGTTTGCAAGCAGTAGCCGTGGGACGGTACTTGGATTTGTGTGTGTGTGTGTGATTCAGAGCAATGAGTCACTGACAATTGGGAAGTGACCTACATCTCTCCCTCGCTTTATCCACCTTGTATCTGCCTCCTTTCTTTCCTGTGTCAGCTGCCCAGTCATCAGTTTTCCGCACTGAATGACCCCCCGCCCCCTCGCAGCCCCCCCTTCTGCAGCCCCCCTTCTGCTTGGGGCACAAAGGGGGCGCATGTACACAGGGATACACACACTACATGGATCCTCTCGCACTCACAGTTTGCCTGGGAATGTGAGACTACACTGACTAAGTTTGACCCGAGTGTGCGAAAAGGGAGGAGTTGAATAGTTGCGTGTCGATGTCGATATCAAATGGGCATATTTGCAGTGTTGTGGAAGTGCAAGTGGGTTCACGCCGCCGTTAGATTCAAGATAAAAGCCTGGCGTAGCAAAGCTGGTTAGGAATGAATTTGTTCTTGGCAGAGTCCTCTGCTGTAACTCGCCTCTTTTCTGCCCCGGAGTTTAGCTGAGATGGTCTCCGTTTGCATGTTGAATCTTTCTCTTTTTTATTTTTATTTTTTAAATCAGTTGGAGATATAAAAGTGCATCAGTCCACGCAGCATTTTTTCAATGGCATTTCAATTCAGCATCAAATCGGTGCCATTTTCTTCCATTGAACATGACATGATTACTCTGTGTTGTTTGTCTCATACATCCACGTCTGTCCAAAGACCCCTGACGTAGGCCGCCTTTACGAAAGGATCAGGGCAGTACGAGCGGAAGGAATTAAAGATGGGAGAAACTGCCGGGGTTGGAATCCAGAATAGCTTTTTTTCTATCTGTCTATCTATCAATCGAGAGAGAGAGAGAGAGATGTATGAACGTATGTATGTGTACTCGTATTTATCTGGGCAGGAATAACAGCAGAGTCAGCATTCATTCCGTTGAGACCCAACTCACCAAGCCGCGACGTTGCCCTTTCGGAAGTGTGCATTCCCAAAGCCGTTGCCATTTTACATCTTGAAATTTTCCGATCAGTTTTACGACAACGGTCAAGATGGCCACGACGGTGACGCCTGTCGGCTTCAACACAAAGAGGCGCCAGAATTGTGAATTTGTGTCTGGGGTGGCTTTTTTTCACCAGCCGCTCCTCTGACTCCTGTGCTTGACTTTTGGCGTGGTCGTTACAGTCGTTAAGGAGCTTTTCACTCGCGCGCGGGAGTTGAAAGTCCTGCTTGAGAGGCTTGCATTCATCACAATGAGACAGAAGCAATGAAATGATGATCCAGCTCCTTTGCGATTGCGCAGTCGTATTGGTTGCGTAATGCCGTATGTGAAGGCTGACCTTTTGCCCCCAAGTCCCGCGAAGCAATGCTGAGGAGGTGGCCGGAAAACGAATACACCGAGCCACAACTCCGTATGGTAGCCGTACAGCAGGAATAAAAACAAGGCGGCAAGATGTGGATGCACCCCAGGCTGGCCTTTGCCGCGGTGCCAGATCATCTCAGCCGCTGTTTTGTCGTCAGCGCGGTTTTCCCTTTGCGGAAACCACGGTCCACTTGTTTCTGACGCATACCCCGAGTGCTCTTTTCTGCCGGAAGACCTGTTGATTGATCAACAGGTCTTTTCAATGAATCTCCCAAGTCGCCCTTCCTTCTGAGTCATGCTCGTTTATTTGGGGTCTCCAAACTCAGTTTAAACGGCACCCAGTTGTGCCGTTCCAAGACATTCTCCATTGCTGAGGCCAAGGATTTTCAGCCCCAAGTGATCAACTCTGTTCATGATCCACCCATCCACCTTGTAATCTGCTTCTCCTCACGAGGGGCGCGCGCGTGCCGGAGCCCATCCCAGCTGTCTTCGGGCAACAGGCGGACGGGGTGGAGGGCAAGACCCTCAACCGGTTGCCATCCAGGCGCAGGGCACGCAGAGACAAACGACAACCCTTGGAGCTTTTTTTTTTTTTAAACAGCCTGCACAATAACAACAGGATCTGGTTGCTTTGCAAAATTTTATCAAGTTCAAGATCCCCACTCACACTGACCTGAAGAAAAATGGCTGAAATCACGTCATATCCAAAAATGATGCGCGGCGCGCCAGTATTTGGTCGTGACGCCAAGTAAAGAATGAGTCACGGCCGCGTCTCCCCCAGCTCATGTGGAGTCTGCAGGTGTGGCTTGAAAATCAACGTGAAGCCAATGTTTCTCCCGTTGTTGCGCGAGCAGCTTTGGAGCTTGAGCAAGAATTCCGCTTCTTTGGAAAGTGTTGACTCGCGTGCCAGAAGCACACGAGCGCAAACACAGTGCGAATAAAATGTCAGTTGGGCAGCCGGTGGAACGGGAGCTTGCCCGCTCAGGATATGGGAGAGCCCCCGTTTCCACGTGTTGTTCCTTTTAGCTGGAAGAGAGTAGATCAAGGGAGGGAAGCTCAACCTCTCGATCGTGGAATGTCTGGTATGGTTGCCAAGGTAGGGGGGAGGGGACAAGTGTGTGTGCGTGCAAGTGTGTCAGGTTAGAGGTTAGTGCAGGCAGAGGCACAGGGAAAGGGGGAGAAGCAAAGGGATTGTGTTTTTAATCTTTCGGGTCATGACCTTGGAATGTGTCACACTCCATCATTGCCGTGGCTCTGAACACAAAGCAAAAGGCCAGAGAGGGTGGAGACAAATTGTATGTCGGCTCGGAAAAGTTGGAATCCATAAGGAAGGTCATCACCTTCCATGTCCATCAGCAAGTCCTGCTTTCTTTGGCACTGTACGTTGAACAGATGAAGTGGCAAAGCGTGCAAAATGCTCCAAACAGGCTCACACCCACACCAGATAGTTCCTTGCCAGTTCTTGTTAGGAAAAGTTGGAATCCATATGGAAGGTCATCACCTTGCCAGTTCTTGTTCCTTGACTGAAATCCAGTCGTACTGCACTTCAAACAAAAATGACTGTGACTCGGTGTCTCTTTTGCTGTCTCTCTGACCACACTTGGGGGGGGGGATAAAAAACAAATATGAGTCCCGCGACCGAGATCCCCACCGTCCCTCTCTGAACTGCCGCCCGGTGCCGAAGGTCTGCAGGGGACCGGACGCGAGTGGAGGTAGCGAGAACCAAGCGCAGGCCCGCGCGGGCATGGAGCCTTTTCCGTTGCCCCTCCCTCTCTTTGGAACCAACGTTGGGCGAGCCCCCCCCTCGCTGCCTGTCTTTCCAACTCGTCATTTTTCTTCTGGCTTTTGGCTTCGCACTCAGCCTGTGACTTGATTTTGAGTTGGACTGTTTCGGTGCTTTGTACCGTCTCCGTTTGGAATGGATTGTTTGTTGCATGAATTGTTTTTGCTCCTCGTACGGCACTCTGGATGCAGCGGCGGTTGT